TGAACGGACATGCAAAAAAATCCGATTTCACAAAAAAATCGGAATTGAGCATTAAGGCCTGCAGTGTGAACGTAGCCCAAGTGGCCTGGGTCGCATTTGAAAAAATCCAATCTGTGTCGTTCAGACTGTCATAAAAAGATCAGATACAGGTCACATATGGGCAAAAAAATCGGAATTGGGTCACTTCAGGCTGCAGTGTGAACGTAGCCTAATTCATCTCTGTTACAGTCATTTAACTTATTAATTACTTATTCCCTCACTACACTATGTGCAATAACATGGTCATGTGAAATGATATTAATTTAGCTACTGAGCAGCATTGTAAAAACAGTTAATTGTATACACTGAAATCTTTATTTTATCCTTGCTCTTATTTCATTCTTATATTTTATTTCCCACTGTTTATATGGGAAGGGATTTAATACACTGTTTATAGGGGAGGGGTGTGATTTTACTGTTGGGTTGTAATTTAACTTATTTTACTTTGTCTTATTTAATTTAATTTTCTCTTTACTGTAAACAGAAATAGCTCCGGTTTTTCATTCATTCATAGGTCTATGTAATTTTGATTAATAATTAATTTTACTGGGGATGAAAACCTGATATCTAAATGTGTATCAGAAAATCCGAGCTCAATACTTGGTTGCTTCTTTTTTGTGTGAATTAATTCACACTGTCCGTTTGCTGGCCATTTAGTACACTAATCCTATGAGCAGTATATTTGCAGTAAAATTACACGCTGGTAAACTTGACACAATGGACAAACACCTGCAGATGACTAGATGTCCCAAATCATTGCTTACTGTGAAAATATCCCTTTGGAGTTCAAGCAGTTTAGATTTTGAGTTTGTCCACTCTTCCTCCAGACAATGGGACCTTGATTTTCAAATGAAATGCAACCTACTGTTTTTCTGTAAATAGAATTTTGAATCACTGATTAGTGTTTAGTTCTCCTCAGAACAGGTCAGACCCTGATAGTGTATGTGTTTGGTTCCTCTGTGCGTAGCTGGTCATAATGCATGGTCTCTAGGTTCAGCCCATTCCTTTTAAAGTTCCTCAAAGTTCCTGCATTGATTTGCCTTAATCATCCATCTAAGGCAATGGTTATCCTTGTTACTGATGCACATTTTCCTAGTGCATGCCCTCCTTCCACTCACCCTTCCATGAGTATGCCTGAATGCAGCACTTTCTGAACATTCAGCTTCTCTGTTGCTTGCTCTCCAGGTGCATGATGCCAAATATTGTATTCTGGTCATCTGTCAAGTCAGCAGCCTCCACTGACAATTGTGTAGCGTATTGATAAGGATTGAAAAAAATGAAAGGGTATTGATTGTACTGCTGCGATAGGTTGGTTTGGGAAAAGCAACAGAGTTCCACTGCACTACAGCTGAATTTTCTATTTCAACTGCCTTTCAAGCTTCCCCATTTTCCTTTCAACCCAAATACTTCATTATTTTTTGTTCGGAGCACATGATTAGTCGCAGGTCATTGTACTTAAAATTTTTTGCTAAACTAATCAGGATGACTATGTTGCTTGACTATGAGGCCTATGGACCTATGCTGCCACATTACTTTTTCAGCCAAGTTTTTATTTTTAATATTTTATCTGTTTCTTTCATTATGGGATTAACAAGCAAATTCTACACTGACACATTCTGATGGAACAATTTTCTTAATTGGCAATGATACACAATAAGATGTTGTACAAATTATGCACCTTATCCATTTGGAAACTACCAAATATTTGGAGGTCCACAATTCTTGTCCTGATATATTGTTTTTCCATTGACCTTTACTGATTATAAAAAAGCGTTTGTTTTGCAAACGTAACTAATTAACTCAAAGATTGTGAATTAACCTACAAGTTTAAAAGGTAAATCCCAATCTATTAGACCTTCCCTATTTGTTTAAGTACATATATAATTTTGGCAATTCTGACTAATTATAAACATAAAAACTAGCTTGTCAAATAGTTGAAAAAAAATGTTTCTTAAAGAATGTATGTAAATATCTGTTTCACTTCTATTCAAGACATTTTTTTGTGCTTGTCTTTTTTTTTTACTGAACTCTCTAAATGCATGCTGCCTGTTTGTCTTCTTGGCTGCCTCCACTGCTCATCTGGAGTCGTGTTCTTCCTAAAATCCTCTGCTGTGAAGATTCCATCTGACTGAAGCCCTCAGGAGGACGACCTTATTTTTAGGATGGTAAACAAACCGATAAAGTGGGCTAAAGAAATATTATTTTCAGAGGACAAACACCTCAAAGTGCCATTGCAGTTACACATTACTTTAAGAGGACATTTTAAAGCAGTGCTTCTGAAATGAAAAGTTGAACACAAACTGTAAGTCATAAAAAGTAGAGGATATTAAAAGTAGTAAGTAAAAGTAGAGTAGGAACTAAATATATAAAATTATTTACTGAACTGATATATACTTTATATAAGGTTTTTGAAGATGTGTGTTGTAAATATAAGTTACATAAAAAATAGTTAGATCAGGATTTGATATTTTTACAAAATAATTTTAAAGACATACAGTACGTAAGATTCATTTCGATTGCAGAAAAATATACGACATCAGTTTGAATAGATCTTGAAAAAAGAACAAAATATAGTGTTAATATTATGATGTGTGAGTCTGTACCCTAATAATGTCTGTTTGTTGCGTGTCAGAGGTAATGTTTTCCCAAGTAGTTTATCTAATTAGGACAGTTCCTCTGTCCGGATATACAGTTATCATGTTCATTATGTACATACCAGAGATTTGGGAGTGAAATCGAGGCACAGACAGAGTGGATCATTCTTAACAGATCCACTTACGCTTAAACACTCAGTTTGATATGGCTGGAGCAAGGGATATCTCCTTATTTACAAAGATGTTTGATGTAATGATGTGGTGATGTGGCTGGAGTTGTATAAAATGCTTCTTTAACTGTGATTAGGGCGACAGTGGCGTTGGATGTAGGAGTTTGCCCTGAAATCGGAGGGTTGACGGTTCAAGCCCCGACTTTCAGTGTCGTTGTGTCCTTGGGCAAGACACTTCACCTGTATTGTCTACTGATGGTGGTCAGAGGGCCCGGTGGCGCCAGTGTACGGCAGCCCCGCTTCTGTCAGTGAGCCCCAGGGCAGCTGTGTCTACAATGTAGCTTGCCACTATCAGTGTGTGAGTGTGTGTGTGAATGGGTGAATGAATGTAGTGTAAAGCGCCTTGGTCAAGTCTCCTAACTTGAATAAAGGCGCTATATAAGTACATGCCATTTACCATTGGTTGCCTTCTGTGACCCAAAGCAACTTCTCGTGATCTTAGTAAGATAACAATTTTTATCGAAATCTGTTGTCGTGTCTCGTGATTATTTAATACATATACATTATGAGGTGTTATTTAAAGAGTCCCCAGTGATCTCTTCTCAGGAAAAGAACCGAAGAGAGAAAGCTTAAAAGTCTAAACACAGAGCTTTCTATGACAATAGAAATTCTGTCATACGTTTGTCTCTAATCGAAATAAATCCAAACATTCTTATTAGAATGACTAGAAATAAAGTAAAATGGGTTATTAATATTACACATCTCTTTGGTTTAGGTTCCATTTGATACTATTAAATGAAGTGTAACAGGGTGTGCGTATTTGCTTCCTGGAGGATCCAGCTGTATAGGTCTATTTTTTATTCTGGACTGAAATGAGTCATCATGCAGGTACGAGCCTATACAGGTCCTATGATCATCAACAATGTTTCTTGGATAAACAGGTTATTGCATCCATTACATAAGACAACAAATGCTTGATGATAGACAGGCTTTGGTTTCTCTGGCTGTCTGGTTCTCATTTAGCAACTAAGACTTTCTACAGAAGTGTTTGGCTACATTGGAGCGATTTGTTATATAAAAACATTATAAATACTGGCTGCATGCAATATTGTGGCCATTGTGAAACCATCGATTAAAAATAATGTGGAAGACTCATTCATCCTTAATATTCAGCCATTAGGGTGAACTTTGCCAGTTCTACAAAGTTATTCTATAATAATCCTGAGTCTGTCTCATTCTCATCAGTCTCCATTACTCTGTTCCAGTATTTTTGCAGATTGTCATCTTCATCGCTCTTACTTCTGATTAATTATCACTCCCTGTGTACACTACCATCCTTTCTTAAAGAGATAAATGGTAAAGAACAAGGGTCATTTTACTTTTATGGGAAAGAGATGTGGAAAAGATATAAATGAATAAATAAAACAAATTTTAAGGTGTCATAGTAATCAGATAATAGTAGCTTTATGTTGTCCTATTTCAACAAGTTTCTATTGAATTTAAAAAGGGAATGGTAACCAAAATGTTTACTCTTGTGTTAGTGTGATTATATTTTTCCAGATAGAAAAAGGTCCAATTACTTTTTGGAAAATTTCTTGTTCAAAGAGTAAAGATGCAAGGAGTTGAAAAACAGAACAAAAAACAGGCTATATATTCCATATTGTCCTCCCTCCTTCGTAGTGTATGTTTAAGCAGTGCATAGATAAAAAATGCTTTTTTTGATATACCTGATGATTATAAGTATTATATGGAATCGTTACTCTAGAAGTGATTTAGAACATTTTATTTTTATATTATTTTTTATTCTTCAAAAAGATCCTTTATTTTTTATTTATATTTAATTATTTTTATCAAAATATAACAGGTTAATTTAAACTGTGCAGCAATGAAGACTATAATTACTGATTAAAACCATAAATAGAATAAGTTATTCTGGGTGTGCCAGTAATTTGTTTGTATTCCCTGTCACATTTTGAAGCTTAAGAAACCAGATCATATAAATATCTTTTATTTTGTTTTCTCAATCATTGAGTTGAATCGTCTTAGGAAATATTAGGAAAGGAGTCTCTTTCACCGAAATATTTTTTTGAACAGGGGTTGAAAGGAAGCAGTTACTAAACACACCATGGCCTTTCAGTCAGAACCCGCCCCCTGCAGGGCAAGGATGCAAAATGTAGTCAAACTGGAAGAATGGCTTTTAAAATATAATTTTCTTCCTTCTTAAGTTGGTAGGTATGAAAATAGTTTAGGTATTATAATTTCATCTGTAATCTCCAGCCCAGTTTAAAGAGCCGCAGTTGCTAAACTCAGTCAACCATGGACCTTTGTTTGTCCCCTGAGAAGCAAGAAAATCGGAGGATATGCAGAGAAATAAACAAACAACTCAAAATGGATAAAAAAAAACTCAAACGGGAGGTGAAACTGTTGTTTTTAGGTGAGATCTTACAAATAATCTACTTTTTGTGTTCTTTTTTCCCCCCTGGTCTAACCTTATTCCCATTCTAATGAGTCAGACTAATTTTTATTGTTATTCAGCTATACTCTAGTGTTGTTTATTCACTTTTCTGAATATTTTTTTAACCTAATCAACTACACCTGTTTTAAATCTGTTGCTTACTCTCTCACCCCAATTTGTCAGAGGCTCATAGTTAAGCTCATTATTGTTAGCTTGCTATAGGATCTCATCTTTTTGTTCTACATGCATTTCGTCACAGGTTTGTCTTTGGAAAATGTATCTGCATCCTACTGCCTGCATATGGATCATTGAAATTACATTTAACTATAAAAAAGCAATCAGTAGATATCTAGTTTTCTAATTTGAGTATCCACATCCTGTTATTTTTCAACATCTTAATTTTGTTGTGTGACAACGACCTGAGAGAACAGATTTCAAATTGTTCTGAGTACAATTTTTTAAAATAAGGGAATAGGTTGCCTATATTTTATTTGCACATTTACTGAATCCTGTAGTTTTAGAAATGAAATCTAATTTTCACTTTTAGATTAAAAACTCATATAAAACCTAGATCAAGCAAAGGAATATGATGAATTGCCTGATAAGCCCACTTTTGCTTCCAAAGTAATCCTCATTAATTTAGGCTTCTACTGCACTTGATCACTGAAAGTAAGTTGGGCAAATGGGCCTGAGATGTTTTCAGCATCTTTTCAAGTCCTGTAAGGCAAGGTGGGCTTTAATGGATAAGAAATTATTAGGCAATTCTAAAGCCAAGTCAACATCTCAAACTTGCTTTTGCTCTTGTCAAACCAATCCTGAACCAGTTTATTCAGTGGGAGGGTTCATTATTCTGTTCAAACAGGTTGCATCAATAAGGAAAATACTGCTTACATTAAGGAGTAAACAAAGTACGAAATAATGTTTGAGAAGGTGTTCAGTGTCAAAATGGGAGATAGCTCTGGCTAATTCTTATTCAGAAAACATCAGAGCAGGCAAAGGCATTTCTGCAGAGAAGACCGAGCAGTGATGATCATTTACAAGGAAAGACAATTTAAGTACAGAGGAGAGAGCCTGATGTAGTGAGATGTAGTGAACTGTAGTGAGCAAACAATCAGAAGTCTGTCTTTTGGTATTTCAAGAATAGTTAGGACTATAGGTGTGTGTAGGAAGATAAAGTTGCAGCACTAGAAACGCTTCAAATGTGGAGAAACCAGTATCGCAGCAGAGACATGTAAGTTATTTCAGTGGCAGCTGCTGGTCTCTGAAACAGGGGAAGCTCAATGCCGTTAATTAAATCCAAACGTAATATGTTGCATTAAGAAAGGTTAAAAACATGAAACACATCACTGCAAAGGGGTAAAAATAGCTGTTGTGAAGTGCTTTAAAATAATATTAACATCAAACTACGACAAGAGTTCAGCACAAGATGACTGATCTGGGTAAATGACTGGCTTGAGTCTCATAAGGAAAATCTCCCCACTGGCTGGCCACTGTTAGTCAAATAATTTAGTGTGTCCTGTGAATCAGCATTGAGTAGACAGCTTCATGACACCCTTCTGTCACACCAATCTGTCTACTTAGGCAGCAACACTGATTGACATTTAATTTCACATGCTGTTGTGCAAACAGAACAGACAACAGGTGGAAATTATTCGCAATTAGCAAGACACTCAATCAAGAAGTGGTCTTACATGTGGGGGCCCCAGACCACTTCTCAGTACCCATTCTCTTTGGCTGATGATCTGGTCACTTCTGAATGTTGGTTGTGCTTTCACACTTGAGGTAGCAGGAGACCAACTCTACAACCAACAAGTGGTTTAGGTAGTGCACCTCATCCAGGATGGCACATCAATGTGAGCTGTGGCTAGAAGGTTTGCTGTGGCTGTCAGTGTAGTGTCTAGAGGATGGAGGCACTACCAAGAGACAGGCCAGTACACTGGGATATGTGGAGGAAGCGATAGGAGGGCAACAACCCAACAGCAGGACTGTTAACTCTATCTTTGTGCAAGGAGAAACAGGAGCAACACTGCCAGTCCCGAAAAATGACTTCCTTTTGTTGCATCCACTGATGCAACAAAAGGACTCCACATTAGAAACCAACTCCATTAGGAAGGTTTGAGGGCCTGACGTCCACAGGTGAGGGTTGTGCTCACAGCCCAACACAATGCAGGATGTTTGCCATTTGCCAGAGAACACCAGGATTGGCAAATTCACCACTGGTGCCCTGGGCCCTTCACACATGAAAGCAGGTTCACATTGAACATATGTGACAGATATGACAGAGTCTGGAGAGACTGTGGAGAGTGATCAGCAGCCTACTACATCCTTCAGCGTGACTGGATTGACATTGGGTCAGTAATGGTGTGGGATAGGCCATATAGCCCTCCATGTGCTCACCAGAGGTACCATGACTGCCATTAGGTACTGAGATGAGATCCTCAGACCCCTTGTGAGACCATATGTTAGTGGCCCAGTGTTCCCCCTAATGCAGAACAATGCTAGACCATATGTTGCTGCAGTGCCAGCAGTTCTTGCAAGATGAAGGCATTGAAGCTATGGACTAGCCCATCCTCTTCCCAAACCTGAATCCGATTGAGAAAATCTGGGGCATCATGTCTCGATCCCCCCACCAACATCATGTTTTGATCAACCTAAAAGTCAAGTTTTGGGGCTGTGGGAGGAAGCCAGAGTACCGGGGGGGAACCCATGTATGCACAGGGAGAACATGCAAAACTCCATGCAGAAAGACCCCAGGCCAGGAATTGAACCCAGAACCTTTTTGCTGCAGGGCAGCAGTGCGACCCATTGCAATAACACAACTATTTCCCTACTGAAGCAATTATTTGTGAAAAATTTTTTTTTTTAAAAGATACATTGTAAATATTTTTAGAGAGAATGGGGTCCGTGGAAATAGATGGTTTTAAGGGTATTTTCTGATATTCACAATCACATTGCAAGGCAGTGGAGCTGAATCATCGTCATTATTTTTGTCTATTTGCTCAAAATTTCAGCAATGGCTTGAAGCTAAGAGTTTCAAAAAAGTTTACTTAGGTACTCCTTTAGCCTAAGTGTGGATCAAGGGAGCATGGGGGCAGAGTCGAACATCCCTCTGGAGAATTAGGACACTATGCACTCATACCAATCAGTTTAAATACACTATTGAAATTTTACTTAAGGGCAAAACTGCAGGAAATTCCAATACAATCCTAAAAAAGTACACTGAAGCTTGGGGTTCTGTATTTTACTAATAAAGCTTTTGCTTGAAAAAATTCTATGTTTATTTTAGAGACTCATTCACGTCCAAACAAACAATATTATCTATAATCCAAATAATCTATGCTACCTATGTGTCTAAATCAGGTCTAGTGCTATATACTGATTGCACCATTTCTTTCATACTTTATTCTGTTTTTCATATTTTTGACATTTTCCCAGGCACTGGTGAAAGTGGGAAGACCACCTTTATCAAACAGATGAGGATCATCCATGGTAAAGGATACAGTGAATCGGAGAGAAATGATTTCACCAGTCTGGTGTATCAGAATATCATTACAGCCATCCAGGCACTGATTCAAGCCATGAGTATTCTGAAGATGGACTATCAGGACAACCAAAATATTGTAAGAACTAATTTACTTTTGTGAATGTTTTGGTATATGTGGGACAAAGAATATGAAAAAATTAGGCAGATAGAGAGAAATAAAAAATGCTTCTAGATTTGTCTGAGCAATTTTATTACTGATGAAATTCTCTTTTCTATATAAATGATAAATAATTCTAACCCTAGAAAAATACAGTAGAGTATGGCACAGGCCATTGTTGGTTCTCCCATTTTGACAACTATTTACATGCATGGTTTAGTTCTCTCTCTCTCTCTCTCTCTCTCTCTCTCTCTCTCTCTCTCTGTCTGTCTGTCTGTCTGTCTGTCTGTCTGTCTGCCTGTCTGTCTGTCTGTCTGTCTGTCTGTCTGTCTGTCTGTCTGTCTGTCTGTCTGTCTTTCTGTCTGTCTGTCTGTCTGTCTGTCTGTCTGTCTGTCTGTCTGTCTGTCTGTCTGTCTGTCTGTCTGTCTGTCTGTCTATCTATCTATCTATCTATCTATCTATCTATCTATCTATCTATCTATCTATCTATCTATCTATCTATCTATCTATCATTCACTACAGTTTGACAATTTAGCAAAAAAAAAATATATATATATATATATTTATACAAACTACTCTCCTTTGTGAGTATTTTTCCCTATGGATCAAACTATTATTGATGAGAACAGCCCATTGTTTTTCAAACCATGTCTGTTCCTATTGGCCAACGCTCTGACCAATGAGCGCAAATGACTGTGACGTAGTAAGAGACTGAAAGCTGGTGGGGGAGTGTAAACAAACAGCCTGTCGGTAAAACGGCGAATACGTCCTTCTTCAAAATGAATGAGCGTAGAACCTCTTCCTGCTCACATTTCAACGAAAACCCCAAGTCTAATCCTACCAAAACTGACTCCAAAGCTGAGTAAATGAGACCTGTTCAATAGTTGTTGCCATCTTTCTTGTTGGGCTTCTCCAGCGTTGCGTAGCTTTGTCGTCACACCCTCAAAATCCCACCCGCTTTCCATCCAGAAATTTGAAACACATCTCTGCGTTGTGATTGGCCTGCCAGTTCTAGGGCCTGGTGGATGGATCGAGGCTAGACCACTCACAGACCTAAATGATTTTGACCACTGGCAGGTGGGGCTAGTTTACTAGGCAAATCCGTATAAATACTGGATAATAATATACTATATAAATATATATAATATTATAATATATAATATTTATAAAGTAATTCATAGGTTATAATGTTATAGCATATGAATATAAAACTTTATAATATCAATATTTAATTGCAAAATATATAACTTTGTATATATTTCATGCCCTCAAACAGTCCTTCTAGAGCTAACTTCAAACATCTTTTTTAAAAGCTTCTTAAGAATATTCCCACTTCATTCTTTGTTAACATAATTTTCTCTATCTTCCATTTTGATTTAAAAAAGTTTGTCTCTGCTGCCCCTTTCACCGTAGCTCACAGCGATATCTAGTCCTTGACTGGATTTTGCAATGCAAATGTAAAAAGTATGTTTTTTAACTTTCCCTTTGCTTCAGTTGCATGGGTTACGCCAATCAAATTTTTATGAATTTGTCTAAATCTTTCCATTCACCTCACTAAATTTGCCACCTTTGCCTCAATTTGCTTTGCTTAGCTTCACTCCATAGCCACTCTTCTTCTTAAGGACAACATAGGAATCCTTCATTCATGTTCGGTTTAAACACAGTTTAAAGTTTTATAACAAGAGCTTCAATATTTGCATAACATTTGCTTCTTTTAAGTCTTTTCCATAAGACTGTTATCCCAATATGAGTTAACATGTAAAATTCTTGAACAGCCGCATCTCAAAAGTGATGATCTGTTGAACCTGTTCACATCACTTTTAGGAGATCTAATAAAAAAGACAAACTGCGTCAGTTTGATACCACAATGGATGTGCTTGGGATATTTTTCAGAGCTATGCTGAAAAATTGTACTTCATGGATTCAGTCAAGGTGCAGACTTTGGAGAGCTGGCAGGTGGATGCCATTAGGAGAGTATGGAATGACCTAGGGGTGCAAAAGTGTTACGACAGGAGAAGGGAGTTCCAGCTGTCAGACTCTGCAAAATAGTAAGTTTTTTTTATTTTTCATATAAGATGTTTTGCTTTAATATATGCTATATGATTGCATTTCTTTCCATAGAAATTAATATATTTTGCTTTTTCCTCACTCTCTGATTTAATGCTTTCTGTTTTGGGTCAGTAAGGAAACACAATTTTGTTATGTTATTATTTAAACCCCACAACTACTTTGTTTCTACACATAGTATGACGTCATGATTGCCACAAATGTGAACCACAAGCGTATATTATGCTCCACAGGCCCATTGGGATCACATATTTTTATTCACAATGTAAAGGGAAAGCTAAGTGTTTACACTTCCCTGCTTTCCTCTCCACAAATCCTTCCTGAGAAGAGATTAAACACTTTAAATAACACTTAGACTTGGACAAACTTTATTGTCATTTTGTATGCAGTGTACACAAAATGGGATTTTTTAAGAATGCTTACAACTGTGTAATGATATTGCAATTAGAATAAGACAAACATTTTAATATAAAGTGCAGCAGTGATCAGAATGTAAACAACATAGAGGAAACAAGAAACCAGGTTAAATAAGGGTGCAAAAGGGCATTACTATGAAAATGTTCAGTGCAGTGCAAAAATAAATATTGCAGTAGAAACATTGAGTTGTGTCCTATTGAAGGATATTGAAGGATAATAAAAGTTGAGGCGCTGCAGCCTCCACACCACACAGTGAGACAGCTGGTCAGAACGCTCTCTATGGTGCTTCTGTAGAAGGTCATGACAATGGGTGGGGGCAGGTTTGCTCTCATCGTTTTTCCCTGGAAGTACAAGCGAACATTAGCAGCCATTCAAAATGGCCCTTCATATTCAAAAGCCAGCAGAATGGTAGCCCACTTCCCTGCAGCTCCCAGCAAAATCCCATCCAACTTCCAGCCACTAGTCTTCTCCTGGGCGTGCAGTTTTCTTTCTCTGACTCTACTGTACCCTTTCTCTGAATTACAGGGTCTGACTAGGAGATGATGCTTCTCTTTAGACCTTAATGTTCACAAATCATGACAGAAAGAATATTTTAGTACAAATATTGATGTTAAAACAAGAATTGTAGGTGACCAGCCAAGAACCAGCAAAGGACCAACCAAGGGCCTATCAAGGAAAGTGGGGAAATTTTGAATGGCTACTACTGTAGCCTACAACACCTTCCAATTTATATGTACAGTATTTAATGACTATAAAAGATGATGGCTGGTTTAACATAACTTTTTATGGCGATAGAAGAGTATCAGTGTTCACAAACTCACATATGTGCTCAACACATGCAGAGGAGAGAATGTGCTGGACAAGATCCAACATCCACAGCACAATCCACACATGTTCATCCTGTGCATGCGTCTAAATCCTATCCTGTGCATGTGTAGATTGTACTGTGTACGTGTGGATATTTTCCTGTGCATGTGTGTAAATCCTACCCTGAGCATGTGTGGATTGTTCCGGGCATTTGTGGATCTTGTCCTGTGCATGTGTTGATCCGATTTTTAAGTGTGAAGATTGAGACTCAATAGAATATATTCTTACTTAGACAGAGCAATGCCTCAGGTTACAATAGCAGTTATTAGCATCTGGCGTTAATCCTCATGACTAGAGCCCTGAATAACACTCAAAGAAGCATTTATACATCTCCTTACATGCATACTGACAGAAAACTCCATAAAATACAGGAGAAAACATTAGCCTTAATACTTAATAGATAATCTCAGTTTTAACAAGCACATACATAAATAATAAAAAATATCCTAAGAACCACAAGCCTATATATGCTGATTGAGCATAAACTACACATGCACATTGAACGTCCCGTGTGCACAATTAATTGAACACCAGCTCAGCCGAGCTGACAAGAAGCAGCGGGGTCTTCCACTGAAATTTAAAAAGATTATATCTTAAAAACGAAAGCAGCACAACTGAGTAAATCTTCACCAACAAACCACTAACAAGTAGAACGTTGTTGTTCAATTTGGGGCTTAATGGGGGGATAGGTAAACTCTGGATTAGCTGAAAAATAATCTTTAATATCTCTGAAACAAAAGTAGCACACATTATAATTTCAACTGTAAAAACCTGCAGTGACGAAAAACTTCTGTATAAATCAACTTTATACCAGCTTATTTGCTTCCTTGAGTTTAAAACAACTTTTGTTTTATTAAAATGAACAGAAATCTAGCCTGCAGGTGTAAAGGCGCCCATACAGAAAAAACAAAAAAAGAATTTGATCAATATGTAATTAGATTTATACTACACTAGGGTTCTGTTGTGGGGGTATTTAGATAGCCTTTTCAAGCCTAAATTGAATTGCAGCTCTTGGGACAATCAGCAGACAAAAACTGACATTTATGACACTACTGGTAGTACCATGAAATTACTTAAAAGCAAATTCCTGTTACTGACAAACAGACAGTGCTGCAGACAGGAGGCTTCGATTGGTCAAATCTATATCTGCTCTACACTATCCGTACTTCCTTTTTGAAACCTTACTGCCTTGTTTTGTTTGATTGACCGCCATTGTGGTAAACGACTCGTGAAGATGGACCAGCTAGAAGAAGTGCGCAAGAGCGTTGGGAACCTTTTTCCACCTGGATTCTCGCTCTTTTTCGCCCTCATGTTCCTCCGTTGTCGCACAAACCTGCCTCTTGCGTTTTTCCACCTCCTAACCGCCTCGGCCGTATCTAGACCCACAGCTAGTCCATGATTGTCCCTCTTGTGTTGTGGCGAGGAATAAAATAGCGCAGACCATGCTTCAAAATTGGGCATAAATCAGAAATATCTGCCTCAAGCTCACTGTGACACACTGCTGTGGGAATATAACCAGCCCTTTAGGGAGAGCACTTGTTTTGAACAGAACATGCCTGGGGCAACCTTGTTGATTGACAGTTTCCTCCAGACAATTATTTGTTTTGTAACATATTTCTTGTAGAACACTGTAGGCTCGTGTTTGGGATTCCTCAGCTTGGGAGGGACAACTGTAAAACGTCACACAACTATTTCCTTTACATTATTGCTGTAGCTCTATGGAATCCTTTTTACTCAGAGTTGACTAGGAAAATATGGCAGACTTGGAGGAGGTCCCCTTTAAAAAAATCTGCTTGGAGCCCTAAAGATGCTTGAAAGTGCTTGGAAGTGGTAGATGGCTTCTCACCATGAGTGGGGTTTGGTTGGAGGTTTTCTTCTCCTCTATCACTACATATGCTCAGCCTAAGAGCTTGCTGCAAAGATAAGAACACAAATCAAGCATTAGTATATTGTTACAACATGCAAGTTCAGGCCAAATAAATGCTGTAATGGCTAATTTATACTCAAACATGTAATATACTAAACCAGGTCATCTGCATGTGTGTTGCAGTGAATGCCCCTGCCCCATCCACAGACACTCTGGTGCACCTCTCCAATATTGTAGGTGCCCGCAGACACAAGAACGCTGGGCCCCTTTTTCCACCTGGATCCCCACTATTTTTCACCCTCATGTCCTTCCGTTGTTGCCCAAACCTGCCCCTTGTGTTTTTTCACTTCCTCAACGCCTTGGCCGTATCTAGACCCACAGCTAGTTCGTGATTGTCCCTATTGGGTTATGGAGTGGAACAACATGGCACAGACCACGCTTCAATATTGGGCATAAATCAAAAACACTGCGACACACTACTGCGGGAGGATAACCAGCCCTTAAATCTTTGAAATGATGCAATCTGATCTGAACTTGACCACACTGTTTGATAACTAATATGTAAATGGAGTCTGTATAGCTGACTCAGTCCTTCACTTGACTTTTTCATTTAAGGTTTTGTGTTTTGATGGTATATAAATAAACAGGATTCAACTGAATTGAGGCAACATCCAAAGTTTGCACCTTGCCTCAGTTGATAATCTCAATTAGTTGAGAAGACGTAATCCTGTACTTGCAAACTTGACCGTCTTCCCATCCAGTTGATTAAATGCTTTCTTCCCTCTGTATTACCTTTCATTGCTGCCATTATCCACCCCTCCTTTGCCTCCAGTTCCACTCTGTCATTATTTAAATCTTTTTGCAGTTACCCTAATTCTCAAAAAAGCTGGTTCAGATCCCAATGATATCAGCTTCATTAACTCCCTTTGAGGTAATACTTAAACTCCAAAGCACTACTCCTCACATTAAGGGTAAACCCATCATGTAGTTCTCACGTCTCACTGACCTCCTTCATATTTACAGATCAGCCAAACTTTCAAATCCTCCTCATCCTTTAGCTTTACTGTTCTTTCAGTTCCTCTGACTTTTCTCTTCCTGCTGACATACACAGCAGTGACTCTTTGACTTTGTTAAAATCGCACCTCAAGACCCATTTTCTTAAAATGGCTCTGCTGGCTTTTTGTTAAAGGTTTTGTTGGGATCTTTTTGGTTTGTGACTCATTTTTTTGTGTTGACCTTAAGTTACCTGAAGGGGGCCTAACAAATACAATGTATTATTATTACTACCAGGAAGGAAGCTAAATTGTTTCAGCACAAATGAGTTTTCTAATTTGAGAAAAATAAGAGTCAAATGTTACGTTGCTGTTTTGTAGAATGTGTAATGGCTTGATCTATACATGATATAGCACTCAAATGTATTGTATAAATTAACTTGAGCAAAGTTCAATTTCAGTTTGTTATGTGAGTGTTCTTTAATTAAGTTTCTTTTTTCCTTTATCCTATCAGTTTTTTGAGTGACATCGACAGAATCGCGGGCGCAGGATACATTCCAACTCTGCAGGACATCTTGAGAGTCAGAATTTCCACCACAAGCATCCAAGAGTACCCGTTTGAATTGGAAAAAGCCATCTTCAGGTAAGACTTCTGTTTGGTTAATTAGTTGTATTATTAAAAAAAAAAACACCATAAAATTTTATAACTAAAAATTAGCACGAGTTGCTTCATGTTTTGAAATACTTTGCCAAACGTATTGCAAGATGTAATACACACATATGTAAGTAATAATTAATAAAAACTAGAAAACATGGAAGTCAGGAAAATGACACTGATTAAACTTCATGTAGATTCATACATATGATTCATATATATATATATATATATATATATATATATATATATATATATAATAAACTTGTAAACAAGTCTGATGGAGCTCCTAAACACATTTTGTTGAGCAACACTTTGAGGCCATCACTGAAGTCAGGTGATTTCCGTAATGTTCAGGAAATGTTCAATAAGACTTCTGCAGCAGTTGACAGGTATGTTGGTTCACTGTTCATAAGCAATGTATTTTAATTTGTGTGGGACAGTTCTTTTTTTAATAATGATTTTATTTTTATTTTCAAATGATCATTATGTCATTTTTATTTACTATTATTACTTTTTTCATTTTTTTGTTGTTCTTTGAATTACTAGTCAATTTATCATTTTCTTTAATGAGAAGGTATGTAATCTTTCAAGCACATCTGTATATAAACTGCTCTCTCAACCATCTTTTATACTCCTGGATGAAGTGGGTGGCTTCTTTGCCTCAAGCTGTATCTCTTAATCATATAATTTCGGGGCTGAGATATTTGAAGTTTCTCCAAGTATCCCTTGGAGCAACTTCTCCTTTGTAGGGGTCACTGCCCGAGTGCTCCAATGCACTCGGGGCAATGAGGCAGGAGGGTGAAGGCACCACAATTGCCTTCACCCTCCAGACTCTATAGTTCTTCCTTTAGCACTTGGTATTTCTCTAGTGTACCATTTCGTTTTATCGAGATGTTTCCATCATTGAGGATGGCCATATTGATTACTACGGCTTTCCCCTGCTGCTTACAAATGATGACAATGTCCGGTTGGTTGGTCACAACCATTTTCACTGTTTGTACGTGGAAGTCCCAAGGGATAGACCTTAGACTTTGGACAGATTTTATTTGTCATTTTGTTTACACAAGTGTAAAACAAAAAAAAATTTGGTTTGGAAACAGCTCACTGGACGATTTCATCTTTTTAAAAGTGCACCCTTTAAAAATAGTAAAAGCGACTTTAAATTTACAGTTCTAACATCCGAACAATGGCTTGGGAGGTTTTGGACTGAATGACAGCACAGAAGCACTGACCATATACATATATGCATATATGTACATATATAACATTTCTGTGTTTTTAGGATGGTGGATGTGGGCGGCCAGCGTACAGAGAGAAAGAAATGGATCCATTGTTTTGAAAATGTCACCTCCGTCATTTTCCTGGCTGCACTCAGTGAATACGATCAAGTTCTTTTTGAGAGTAAAAAGGATGTATGTTCTGGTCTATTGGTGTTTCTATTCCTAATATTTGTTTCCTCAAATTTGGTGTAACTGTACTTATCTGTGTTTTAGAATCGAATGGAGGAGAGCCTCGCCCTGTTCAGGATGATCATTTCATGCATTTGGTTTAGGAAGTCCTCCACCATCCTCTTTTTGAATAAAAAAGACCTGCTAGAGGAGAAAATCAAAACATCACACTTGGCAACATACTTCCAAGACTTCAAGGGTAAATGATAGTATTACTCTTGAATGTCTCATTGCAGATCTATAGTTATTTCTTTATTTATTTCTTTGAAAAAACAAAAAACTTTTTCCTGCATCACTATTGATATGTATGATAACAGGCCAAAAGCACCTCTTGCTTCGTTTTTACATTGATCATGGTCACAATAATCCCAGCATAGAATGATTAAATAGATAGATATTAATTTTTTAATGATATGTATGCTGTTAATAGTGATGCTGCCCTCTAACCAATTGGTGACAGACAACCTTGTACATTGCATTTCGCAAAAACTAGTGACAGCTGGAACCACATCTATGCAGGTGCTGAAAACTGATTCAGTAAGACGTAGCTGTTACTAGAGGATAAGCCTAAAAAGCAAGTAGAGCTGTGCTCAACAAAAAGGGCTAATAGGCTTGTTCAAAGAGAATGTTCTCAACCCATAAGTTTTCGTTCAAAACACTTGCAGTACTTATTCCTTATTTCCAGGATTATTTTCTGTTTCCCAAAACGCATGACTTGTGTTTTAGACTTATAATCCACCAATGAGCAGCCTCCCAATGAGGGGGTAGCACTGCTGCTTTGCAGCAAGAAGGTTCCGGTTCAATTCCCGGCCCAGGATCCTTCTGGGGTCATTCTGGCGTCATTCTGCATAGAGTTTACATGTTCTTCCTGGGCATGGGGTTCTCTCTGGCTACTCCGACTTCCTCCCACAGTCCAAAAACATGACTGTTAGGTTACTTTGCTTCCCTAAACTCTGCGGTGTACCCTACCTCTTGCCCGTAGACAGCTAGGGATAGGCACCAGCAACCCTTACGACTCCAGCTGGGATAAAGCTTGATGGAAAATGGAGTGGATGAAAATGCAACACTTTTGCATTTGACGAAAACCTTGTTTAAACCCACTAAGAATTGGCTTTTAGTGGCAGTGAGAACAGCCAACTGATTGTGTCAAAGGATTCGAGACTGGTTAAAAGTGTTTTATCTATACAAAGCTAGCATATTCTCATGTACTCAGAGCCCAAGAGCATGACAGTTTTTGGCCCCTAAGGTTTAAGTTTGTTAATTCATGTTTGCTTGCACTGTTTGTCTCATTCCAATAAAAAAAAAAAAAAAAAAAAAACGCTTCTCACCCAAGTAGTGCTGGAAATAGGCATCAGCCTTTTGCGTCTTGTTAATCTTTCTTTTTGTCAGGGCACATAACTGCTTACACAAAACCAGGGTATCTGGAAGTTTTTTTCCTTTTACAACATCCTTCTACAATACTGATACATGCATGCTCAGTATTAGGGATTGCTGCAGAATCAGTGCAATCAGTTGGGTTTCCTTCAATAGAATTTACTGGGCTGCAGTGTGTATTAACTAAGACTAAACTGGAATGTTTGTAATTGCCTTTTAATCCTTCTGAAGGAATATGTTGAAATGAACTGAAATGATCTGTGCTACAGACAGGAATAAGTCATATTTGTTAATCAGCAATTTACCTTTTGTTATTTTCAAATGAACTCTTCATTGTGATGTTATTTTACACTAAAATCATGCATTCTGTTTCAAAAAATTTAGACATACTAAGTAAAATTTCCATAACATCTTATATTTTTTATTTTACAATAATTGAAAGAGGAATTCCAGCTGACACCTGAAATTTTGTTAAAACAGATACAGTAAGAATAGCTGCAAATATGCAATTTAATATAGAAGATGTTAAGTGAGTATACGACAAAGATATGATTATTTAATTAAAAACAGTAACTCACGATATTATAGTTAATTTTACATAAATCATTCTCAATCAAAACATGAGTATGTCAGGAAGAAGAATACAAAGCTAATTTAAACAGCTGTTTACAAACACTTTACTTATTATTTTAAAGGGATAAATACAACATGTTAGAAATTAAGGCATAGAATTTAAATTATTTGTTTTTAAATGTGGATGATTTGGAAGTTGCCTTTTTATTTATGCTGATTTTGAACAACTCTCCCTCTTACAGGACCTCAAGGCGATGCTGAATCAGCAAAGATTTTCATCCGGCAGATGTTTATCCAGTTTAAAAATAAGGACAAACCCCTCTACACACACTTCACCTGTGCGACGGACACTGAGAACATCCGGTTTGTCTTTGCATCTGTCAAAGATACAATCTTAGAAGAACACTTACTCAATCACGGACTTGCATAAACCAGCATGAAGAACTTGTGTGTTCACAGATTATCAATATAATATCACATTAAATGTATTTAAATCAGTAGAAAATATTGTTCTTCAAAAAAATTTCTTTTGTAGAGCCTAGAATAAAATTTTGGGTTACAATTTCGGATTATGGAAACCTGGGGACAGTTTCATGTTTCAACAATTTCAGTAAATATTCTTGTTTTCAGTAAATAAACAAAACAATTAGATCTTTATGCCTTTATTATACCTTTTCACTGTTTAATTTTCCCTGCATTGTTATATCCTGATTTTACTTTTATTGTAACTTTACATTGTGTATTACAAGAAATTACTATTTTTTATATATTTTATTTAGAAGATTGTTCCGAAATTGTTCATTCTACTTATCTAAGTAACACATTTTGTCATTACCTTGGGTTTTCACTTTCTTTCACAAAGTGAAGCAAAAAAAGCTTTTAAGTAAAGTATGAATGTGACAGCAAATATTCATGACAAGAGCACACAGTTCCTATTTATAAACCAATACTTAGAGAAAGGTTGTCTAAAGCTGGATTAGACCCAGGACAAAGAGTCCAGGTCAAAGTCCTTATTCAAAAAACTTCGGCAATTTGATCTACACTGACCAAGAGATTTTAGTTGTTTTATTCTAGGTCAGAAAATGCTTCTTCTAGCTAAATGTTATCTTCTTTGTGAAGTTTTGTCATAATTCTTTGAAACTGAATAATATGAATTTTTACATTCAACAAAGATCCTTGTTTCTGATAGGAAATATCAGAAACAAGAACCTTATCTTTACCTCCCTCCATAGATTCAAGTCCAGACTGTCCTTTTCTGAAGTGAATTTGACTTTGTTGTTTCAGCGGGAAATCCTTGGCTACTGCTGTTTTTTTTGTTTCTTTTCCTTCACAAATGTTTGATCTCTTTAATCTGTGTAATTTGTGATTTTTCCACTTTTTAAAAGTTCTCCCGGTAAGCATAAACAACTACTTGGCCATGTTTTATAATAATTTAATATATATATATAAATTATAATATATTCAATATTCACCCAGTTCTCTGTGTTAAATGTTATTTAATAAAATAATTTGACTGCCATATATTGTTCTGTGAAAAAATGTCCAACTGGCTGTGTGTTAAAACAACAGATGAAAGTGTGAATCGAGCAGATAACTTTCTACGTATATAGAATAAATTCATTAGAACTTTCATTTAAAATATAAGAATTTTTGATAGAATTGATTTAACCCCACTAGTGTTGTTTTCATCAACGATGACGTTACGAAATTATTTTGTTGACGCTCCTTTTTTTCATGATGATAACGAGAACTGATGAGCTAAACATGGATCTATGTTGACGAAAACTTGAGAATTATTGGTGTGAGTTTTAGTCAATGAGACATGATGAGACAAGACTAAAAAAAAATCAGGGAGTGGTTGGTCAAACATTTAAACTGCATCATTGTGCTGTAATCTGCTAAGCAGTATCAGGCATGCTGCTGCGTCCTGTTTAATCACATAGCACCTGCCGTGCAGGGGGGTTCGTTCTGCATGACCACAGATGGATCATAGCAGCAGCCGCAGCATGAAACTAATCCAGAATAGTCCAGGTGTCTGACAGAACACCAGTACTGAGTGCTGAACTCTAACAAACTGATCTTCCATCCAGTGGGGGATTTGCCATTCGGCAATACTAGGCAGTTGCCTTGGGCCCCAAGTTCCTGGGCCCCCCTATAACTCTGTTTACATGTATGGTTAATACAACTATTCCTAATTTCTGAATATTAGCCAAAGTGCCATCAGAACGCTTATAATATTAAGTGTCTCAGCAGCATGTGTCATGATTGTTTTAAGGAATCTGACCCACATGCAGAGTACCAATCAGAGACCAAGGGAAAAAGTTAAACAGGTTTATTGAGGTAATGAGTAGGCCTACAGGAGTTGGATCTGGAACTCAGTGACCTGGTGAACCAGAACTGAAAAGTCTGGAGGGGAGATCACAGTGATCAGTTCAGGGACCGTGGGAGAATTGACTGAAGCTTGAACACTGTTGGAGCGGGACTCATGTTTGAGGGGATTCTTGTTTATCTTTGAAACCAGTCAGTGTGGGTTTATCCAGAGATGAGGTAACTCGTTGGAGAGCGGACAGGTAGACATTCATTGGACCCGGAAGAGCAATGGAGCGAACTGTCACTTGGATTTCCGAAAGGGACTTGAACGGCTCATGTGGATGTTTTCCCCTGCTCAGTGTGAACTCAGTAAATTCTTCCATGGGGAGAAGGCCAGACATTCAGTTACACAGGAAGGCTTGCTCCCGAAAGGCAAAGACAAAAACATTATTAGACTCAGAGAAACAAAGGCTCAGGTTAGACTCAACTAATCTCAGCTTGGCTAGAGTACCCAAAACTGGCAAACACTCTGGCATAGAGGTAGTGACAGCCTACTGCTCAAATACTTCTCCAGATAGTGATCCAACGAGCCGCAGGTGTGCAGGGAGGCCCAAAGAGGACGGGGCATCACCTGGTGGTGGAGAGAGAAAAGACATGCAAACAACCCACACAAACTAGATCCCTAACAGCTCTTGCTGCCCTCGCTGCTTAATAAACTATGTGGCTGATCATCCTCTGCCAAGCATCAAAAAAATCCCTTTCACTCTCTGCCTGAGCATATGTCAATTGCAAACATCTCAGATTATATTGCAAACTATAGTTATGCACTCAGCCAGTAAGTGGTAACATGTTCACATGAAGCTTCATGAAATTTGTGGTTCATTGAAGCAATTTGATCAAACGGTTCAATGCCTCATGGGGGTTCATCTCCACACTGCTGCTCACTGGAACAGATAGGGACAATCAGGAACTCACTTAGAAGATTCTCCATCTTGAAGTACCAGGAGAGAAACTGAATTTGTTGGTCATGGGACAGAAACTGTGTCAGAACTGACAGGTTTGAATCATGAGGCGGTATCTAAGAGGTAGGCAAGAAGGAAATAAAACAGGTCGTTCTCCAGAAATCAGAGAGCTCGGAATAGTTCTACAAGAAAAGATTTACCCACTGTGAGGCTTTCAACTAATCCAACACAACTGGTTCGAAGTATGATTAAAAAAGGCAGGGAAGCTGGTGGTAAGCATGAGTACTACTGATAAGGGGTGCAGCTGCACAGGTGGGAAAAATGAGTGACAATAATGCGAGGAGTAGAGTTGAATATAAACTAAACAGTTACTTTGACAGAATAATAAAAATAAGTATGTTGCGGAGAGTTTGATCTCTACTACCATCAAATGCCAGAACAACAGCATCAGAGCAAATTATTTAAGGAAGGTCAACAAGTTGATAATGAAGCCAGCCCCTTTCTAGGAACTCTTTTAAAACATTTGAAGATGTTTTTACAAAGAATAATTCTTTATTAGGTACCCCATGCTAGTAACGGGTTGGACCCCCTTTTGCCTTCAGAACTGCCTCAATTCTTCGTGGCATAGATTCAACAAGGTGCTGGAAGCATTCCTCAGGGAGTTTGGTCCATATTGACATGATGGCATCACACAGTTGCCACAGATTTGTCGGCTGCACATCCATGATGCGAATCTCCCGTTCCACCACATCCCAAAGATGCTCTATTGGATTGAGATCTGGTGACTGTGGAGGCCATTTGAGTAGAGTGAACTCATTGTCATGTTCAAGAAACCAGTCTGAGATGATTCCAGCTTTATGACATGGCGCATTATCCTGCTGAAAGTAGCCATCAAAAGTTGGTTACATTGTGGTCATAAAGGGATGGACATGGTCAGCAACAATACTCAGGTAGGCTGTGGCGTTGCAACGATGCTCAATTGGTACCAAGAGGCCCAAAGAGTGCCAAGAAAATATTCCCCACACCATGACACCACCACCACCAGCCTGAACCGTTGATATAAGGCAGGATGGATCCATGCTTTCATGTTGTAGACGCCAAATTCTGACCCTACCACCCGAATGTCGCAGCAGAAATCGAGACTCATCAGACCAGGCGACGTTTTTCCAATCTTCTATTGTCCAATTTCGATGAGCTTGTGCAAATTGTAGCCTCAGTTTCCTGTTCTTAGCTGAAAGGAGTGGCACCCGGTGTGGTCTTCTGCTGCTGTAGCCCATATGCCTCAAAGTTTGACGTACTGTGCGTTCAGAGATGCTCTTCTGCCCACCTTGGTTGTAACGGGTGGTTATTGGAGTCACTGTTGCCCTTCTATCAGCTTGAACCAGTCTGGCCATTCTCCTCTGACCTCTGGCATCAACAAGGCATTTCCGCCCACAGAACTGCCGCTCACTGGATGTTTTTTCTTTTTCGGACCATTCTCTGTAAACCCTAGAGATGGTTGTGCGTGAAAATCCCAGTAGATCAGCAGTTTCTGAAATACTCAGACCAGCCCTTCTGGCACCAACAATCATGCCGCGTTCAAAGCCACTCAAATCACCCTTCTTCCCCATTCTGATGCTCGGTTTGAACTGCATCTTGACCATGTCTACATGCCTAAATGCACTGAGTTGCCGCCATGTGATTGGCTGCTTAGAAATTAAGTGTTAACGAGCAGTTGGACAGGTGTACTTAATAAAGTGGCCGGTGAGTGTATACAACATTAAAAAAAAGTTTTTTAAATGTGAGTTTTTTACACTCACGTTTAATTTTTACTTCGGGATTCATAAAGTATATTTTTATCAAATTGTGTTCCATGGAAATGTTGATTTGATAAAAAATAAAGTTGATGTGAATATGTGTGTCCTTTACACACACCCAGACCAATCAGTTCAGGTATGCAGAGGAAATAGTTCACACTGAAGGTGCCTGAGGTTAGGAACACTTTCCTTCCCATTGCTGCCATGGCTGATGGTGTGAGCATGCACAATAATATATTGGTAGACAGCTGTCTGGAGTTTAGAAATTTCAAAAGAAAAAAGGGGAAATAATGTTGCGGTCGATAAAACAGTGGAAAGGGGGAAGCAGGTCATTGATAATAGTGTAAAATGTGATTTTTTTTCATCATACACGTTATTTCAGGAAACATCAAAATTAAATGTGTTATACATAAGTATTAGCCAATAGACTAATGGTGAAAATGAAAAAGATTCTATTAAAAAATTTGTGCAGTACTCTTCTCCCATTTTATTCTGGGTAAGTCTGCAGATTTAAATCGTTTTAGTCCCGAATTGCTTTTAATTATGATTTAATCAGATTTTAGTCATCAAGATTAAGAACTTGACTAGACTAGAAAATATTGCTTTCCAAACAATTTCCAAACACATTAAATACAGGCTAAATTTTCTAATTCAAATAACCATATTCATATTAATTGAATTACAGTCTAAAAAAAACAAACCAAAAAAGTGATGTAACAAAGATTAGGGGAGCCGTGTCGGATATACATTTTTTAAGGTAAAAGAATTGTGCATTTATTGCATGAAAGTTATTTTGTGATATGTAGCTTAATTTTTTTTTTTCATTTTTGATGACATCATCCATTACTGCTAAAATTTGGCTCAAATACTCATTTTCTCATAGACAGTGCCCCTTGCTGCTGGATTCAACAAAGAAGACACACAGTTTGAACTTAGTTGGCTCTAAACCTGGCCCCGACCATTCTAGTTTTACTAGGTCTATTGTCATAGTTACCAAGTCAGACTCAGAGACATGAAACCCAAATGACAACAAAATAAGGCAGGCTTGACCAACTAAGCCTGGATTATAAACAATTTTATGAAACACCTTTCTGGCCTCCAACTGAACATGCTAAAAAAACAAACAAAAAACAAACAAAACAGTTGCTCATTGCATCATTGCCTTTTTAGTCAGAACCCACCCCCTGCATAGCAGGAAAACAAAAAGTGGCCAAACTGGAAAAACAGTCCAGAAAATTCCCCGTCTTCATTCTTTACCCGACTTATTTTCAAACATCAAGGTACTTTTCTTTTTAGTTGTATTCTCCGGTACAGTTTTTGAAACCATAGTTGGTAAACTTGGTCAACAATGGATGTGTGTTGCAACTTGTCTGCTGAGGAGAAAGAACGTCAGAGGACATGCAAAGAAATAAACCAACAACTTAAAATGGACAAACAAAAACGCAAACGGGAGGTGAAACTGCTGCTTTTAGGTAAGGTCTATTTTTTGGTGTCTATTTTTAAGAGATTTTGCAGTGGTCTAGCCTTACTCTTTTAATGAGTCCAACTGTTTTTGTAATTCAACTACATTCATTTGTTGTTCTCTCCTTTCATTTGACCCTACTCATTAACCTCCCGTTCAAAACTCTTAGTTATCCTATATGCTTCATAATACTAACTATAACGCTGTTAATCTATTATTAATAATTGCCTCAGTGTTTCATGGGTTTGTTATTGTTATCTTTTTATGTGTCTCTCTGTATTCAGCATGTATTTTGTCACAGTTTTGGTCTTTGAAACTTGAATCTGCCTTCTCCTGCCTGCATTTGGATCATTTAAATCTAAATACATCTTCACATTTACTGATCTTTGTTTTACTTTTCAAAAATAGAATCCTATTTTGCCTTCAGATGATTAGTAAAATAACACCCCAATTAGACACTACATTTTCTGACATAGTCCACATTTCCTTCCAAATCATCCTGATCAGTTTAGACTTTGACTGTGCTTGACCCCTGAAGCTATGGTATCTGGGACCAGAATGTTTTCACCACCCCCAATTCTTGTAAGTTGCAAGGTGGTTTTTAAGAACTGTGCAAAGAGTTTATCCCATAAATCTGGAATGTTAGCGTAGCGGTTAGAGCAGTGTGCTTGTGCTCTGAGAAGGTTGCAAGTACCTGGTTTGATCCCCACAGCCTGCACCAAGGGTTCTTGAGCAAAACCCTTAACCCGACACTGCTCCCCACGCACCAATCAATGGCAGCCCACTGCTCCCCGAGGGGATGAGAGAGTTAATTTCTCCATTATGGGACAATAAAGGGATTTACATTGCATCCTTGATTGGACTTGTGTTTCTTTGAGATCAACTCAACACCTCAAGCTTGCGGCTGTGGTTGTCAAACCATTCCTTAACCAGTTCTGCATAATAGAAGGGTGTGTGTGTTATGGAACAATGTTAATGAGATGGAATGTCTCAAGACACCATCCACATGGTTTGAATGACCCCTTTTCTCCCAGGGAAAATACCCAAACCATCACATTAACTCCACATGCAACTCTGCTTGCATTAGTTTTCTTGGTAAGTGATGCCAAAACACCAAACCCTCTGTTTTAAAATGAACATAAATTAGCAGATCAGGCCATATTCTACTGCTTCTCTGTGGTCCAGATCTAATGCTAATGTACCCACTCTTGGTACTTTTAGTGTCAGAGGTCAGCCATACAGTCCTATCTGCAACAATCTGTGAAATTTGGGGCATCCTGATATCAGCACTAATGGCACTTTGAGCTACAGTAGTTAACATTGCTGATTGTGCATTAGTGACTTTGTACATTAATAAGTCTGAAATTTGTAGTCATTTAACCAATCTTCCCTCTTTGGATTATTTTGATACTGATCTGTAAACTGGGGAAAACCGCATAGAGGCTTCAACATTAAAACTGCTGTGTCCCAGTCTTCTACCCATTACAATTTGGTCAGTGTCAAAGTTTCTTTAATGCACAAACTTTCTTGTTTTCTCACTTGAAACAAAAATTACACCTGCCTAATAAAAACCAACAGGTAACAAGTACCATGCCCTTTCAAAACACTTGCTTCAGTGGAGCTATTTATTTGTAAAAGACCAACAAAACATAGTAAATATTTGTCAATTTGAAAGTGGCCTTTAATTGTTTTTTTTATGTAGGATTTATATGTATGTATTGAATAAATCTTTATTTTATTGTTAGATTATAAATGGAGTCCACCTGTGTGAAAATTAATCTCAATGTCATTACATCTGAACGAATCAGAGGTTTGTTTGGGAAAATTTATAAACAAAACAAAACATGTCTCAGGGCCAAGTTGTTCAAATCAAAGCACGACGAGGTCTCAAATTCAAATAATTTGTGTTACGCAACTTTTTACATCTAAATCAAGTGCCTAAACTGATTCACTAACATGCAGTCAAGCACTACAGGGCTCTGCCAATGAGCTAATATTTGGGTCAAGTGTGTTGAAGCATATTTTGTACAAGTTATGGGACACTGGTCATAAAGGACTGGAGTGTGACGTCAGAGTACAAGGATTATTTAGTCTACATCAACACCTAAATGCATTTGGGAATCTTTGCCAAGTTGAACACTGTTATTTTCAGATATATTCCATCTAAGCTGACATATTTTGAGCTATTTACTAATCAGGTTCAGTTGCTGTATATTGCTGTTACTCATTTGGCCATACTCATTTTTCTGTCTTTTGTACTTTTTTTCAGGGGCCAGTGAAAGCGGCAAGAGTACCTTTATCAAACAGATGAGGATCATACATGGGAGAGGATACAGTAAATCAGAAAGAGAACATTTTACCAGTTTGGTGTGTCAGAATATCATCACAGCTATCAAGGCACTGATTGAAGCCATGAGGACTCTTAAGATTGACTATCTTGATGACCAAAACATTGTAAGGACTTGTACACTCACATACACAAATTTTCCCTCTGATTTTGTTGGATATTTTTGGGACAATCAACAGGAAAGAATGGACAGGAAATAGAGGAATAAGGAAAAATGCATCGATAATTGCTTGGGGTCACATCTATAAAGGTTGCATCTGCATATGATGGTATTTGATACTCGGGTAGGCCACTTCCCTTTCCATTCAAATATCATGATGAAAAAAAATAAAAAAAAATAAATAAATATATTGTCAGGTCTATCCCCACCTCACTCTGCAGTTCCAGCGTTCTGCTTGCTATTTACTGTATTAGAAATCAGGGGTCTCTTGTTACAATAGCTGAGACTGCTCTAGAAATGAGAAACAACATGACTTGCAGTCTCAGTACACATCCTATAAATTTCAGGGTTCAGTCAAAGTCCAAGCGGTTGAAGCTGTTCACCAAAGTTCAGCAGGTCGAGTGCTGCTCGTAAATCACCCACAACCTCCCCAAAAGCAAGTTCACAAATCACAGTATACTTCAGAAAAGGTGGCTGTAAAAACATGCACATAGCACACAGATTTATGCATGATAACACTACACAGATACATTTATATACAATTATTCTAACATGTATGTATGTAAAATCTCGGCATCAATCCACCTCTGACCAATATTTATATTTTCGTATCCAGAAGAAGATCTCATAAATGTACCACTTAAATCTTTTGAGGAATTTGTTGTCTTTAAACTCTTATCAAAGCAGTGAGTTTTCTTTCTTGTTAATTCTTTGTTTCTATCATTTTAGTAAAAAGCTTAGTTTAAATATAATTATTTCTTAAGAACATGTGAACTAATCTCCAAATTTTACTCCTTCGGTGGAAATGATCTGCATTATTATTATTATTATTATTTTTTTTTATTGACATTGGCCCTTATATAATGTCTGACACCCGCAAACTATTTCATTTATCAGTTAATTTAACATTAGCCGTCATTAGTTAGTATCTCAATTAAATTGAGTTATAACAGCCATTTTAAGTTTTTTTATAATTATTTGTTCAACGTGCTAAAGTTGTTATTTTCTTATTTTTCTACCCTGGGCTATGGATTTTATGGACGTTTATGAAAAATGTGTCTTTATTGGACTCATCTCAAACTCTTGTTAGCAAATTAAAAAAAATTTCAAACCGGGTATTTATGGTTCCAGATCTAATTTAAAGATAATACTAAATATACCTAGAGTGAAAGATAAATTTAGTGAAACTGACTCTTGATACATTTTTGCTTCACGTGTTTAGAATAGGATAGAAGGAAATAGTTTTAGCTGGTGTTGTATAAGCTGGTTAATTGGGGAGTGTTGGCCTAGTGGTTAGAGCAGTGTGCTTGTGCTCTGAGAAGATTGCAAGTACCGAGTTCGATCCCCACATCCTGCACTCTGGCTCCCCGAGCAAGACCCTTAACCCCCACACTGCTCCCCTGGTGCCGCACAATGGCAGCCCACTGCTCCCCTAAGGGATAGGTTAAAAGCATGCCTTGTAAGGCCCTGTGATGGGGCATCATTGGTATAAGCTACTTTTACGTAATCAAAAAGTCTCCCGTGGTGTGTTTCAAATACAAAAACCAGATCACTGCTCGACCCTCAACAGGCTCCATCTCATACTTAACTCAGTTCAAACCTGTAAATCAGAAACCACAATTAGTTTAGAGCTGTAATTTTCCACTTATTCTATAGAGATAGAAATAATTGCACATGTAGAATTTCAGTTAGATCAAACAACTGGAAGTGGGTCAGGGTCATTACTTATTGAATGGGCAACTTATTAAATAAATGATGGCTAAAATCTTTACTAAAATAATAATAAAAAAAAAATTACAGAAGCACAATATATTGCATCTTATTACTTCTGAGCACTATTGACCTCATAATTAATCAAGGTCCAAAGGACAAAAGGTCAAGATCAGATATATTTTACCAGTGAACTGTAATTACCACCTAAAATTTGTTCAGTTATTAATCTGGTGAGAACTCTGGTATTACTGTAAAGCTGCTCCCCTTGCAGAACACAATAAATCTATTTGTTCCAACTATTAAAGACTGGTACAGAAACTCCAGTACTTTCCCATAACTCCACTATGAAAAATCAAAACAAGCATCAACTTCAGTTAAGGAAACAGTAAGATGGAGGGGTATAGATTACTCTTGGGAGAATGAAACATGTTATTAGATTCTTGAGCATTTATATCTTATAATCATGTTCACAGCACAAAGTATCTTGAATACTTCATTTAAAAACTGCTTTTAGTTGACTCAGTCATTGATGTTTCTTTACTTTCAGAAATGTGCTGAAAGACTGTACCATGTGAATTCAACCGAGGTATATACTTTAAAGTCCTGGCAAGTTGATGCCATTAAGCGAGTATGGAATGACCTTGGAGTGCAAAAGTGTTACAACCGAAGGAGGGAGTTTCAGCTGTCAGACTCTGCCAAATAGTAAGCTTTTTTTTTTTTTTTATACTCAATATATTTTGCAGTGCACCCTTGCTTCTCTAAAATTAAGCTGTAGTTTGATAATATTTTGTTTTAAATAAATTTTCTTGATTTTACAGTGGAGCTGTTGTTACAGATTTTCCACTTACATCTTGGGTCAATAACTTCACCAATGGTTGAATGGGTTTCTGTTTTGGGTCAGAAAGGATTATCTAAATCATTTCTATATCTGAAAGTTTGTATATTTCTGTTGCTTCCTTCAAATTCTTATGCTTACATATGTTCTGAGAAGAGCCGATGGCAGTCCTCTCAAACTCAAGGGCCAGGTTACAACTTTAATATTTGTCTCTGATTCGACACACCTGACTCGAATATGAGCTCATTACAGAGCTGGACTGCTACTAATGTGGTCGTTTAGCTGTTTGATTCAGGTGTGTAGAGTAAGGACTCATCTAAGGCCCCTTCCCAATATACTCCCTCGCTCTTCCAGCTTCTCACTCCATTTGAGCGTACCGGCTGAGGCTTGGCCATATTAGGTATAAGGGCCTTCACAGCGGATGAGGATCTCTTTCCCAGTTAAGCCGGGCATACAACATAAGGTATTTCCAATCATTGCACTCAGCTACAGCTCGAACTCTACGACGAAACCGCTGGGTTTAAAAGTTCACAGCTCCTGATGTATGTTCTTACACTGTACGGCCCAACGTCTGATGCGATCTACCTGCTCACACTGCACATCCAAAAACCACACTTCTGACTCAGCGTCGAGAGATGATGCTGATCGGACTCGTCAATCTGGAAGAAGAAGAGCTCCCTTGTTTGCAAATGCGCAGTGCTTGAGGTTCAGCTCTGCTTCAACAGCAGGATTTACCCCGGAACACCTTACTGTACAAGGGCTGACTGAATTTCAAACATGTTTTAATTTTCTCCCAACCTGCCGATTCCTGATGGGGAGGCTGTGGTGAGAGATTGATCGCCACTCGTTACCCCCTTGTATACTACTCGACGCAGGACGCGTAATCCAAACGAATGCTCGTGCGACTGGAGAATTTGCCCAAAAACGTGCAACACCAAATTGTGGTCGGCATGGAGGTGCGGATGTATCTTTTTCATAGGTATTGCACACATTCACGAAGTAAAGAAACACCTTATCGACAAATACTATTTAACTTAGGCTATAGAAATCATTCTGGTAAAGGTGCAATTGTTATGACAAGTTACTGTATCAACCTGTTTGTTACAAATGTGGTCATAACTGAAAAACATCGAAAATGTGGGCCAAATTGAACATTTTCTTTGGTCTTTTAAAACAGCCTTGTTATTTTAATTTATCACAGCTGTTAGGGTACAATGGTTAAACTCAACAGCATTGAGTCACCTGTTGATGCAGCATGTACTTGGAATCCAGAGGTTCTGAATTTAAGCCACACTCCCACAGACTGACATTATGGGTCCCTGAGCAATACCCTTAACCCCACACTGCCCCCTGGGCGCTGCACAATGGCAGCCCACTGCCCCCCAAAAGTATGGGTTAAATGCAGAGTTCATTTCGTTGCTCTGTACTTCTGACAGTGTACTGTAGTGACAATGAAAAAGCTGAAAAAAAAAGCTCAAAAGCTTCGTGCAGGGTCATAGCAAGACTTTAAAAACTATTGAGGTCCACTAAAATATTTTTCAATAAGACTGCAAATATATACAAAATAAAATGTATATGAGAAAAAGAAAAAAATACTGTATTAAGAGATGAATTAGATAAACAAACATCCTCTACATACAAAATTAAATAAAAAGGCATTGCTGTGCAGAGTATTATCATTTCTAATTAGGACAATAAAAACTGTATGAACATGAGGCCATTCTATCTTTTATGATCTTTGTTTGTTTAAAGAAGTTTATTGTTACTTTAGTTGTGAGTAACTGCATGTACAATGATGCTCTCTTATATTCTTTTTTTCTCCAACAGTTTAATAATCCAAAAGTTTGTCCTGTTTCTCTCCTCTCTGCAAGTTTTCCTCTTATTCACTCATTCCTCTGTCTGTTCCTTTTCCTCCTTCCCATAACCGTCTATTGATGCCTCGTCAGAGGGGTCTAATTGGCACGGATATAATATGACAGAATTTTTAGACGTAGTGCATGTCAGGACATGTCTGGCATACTTTCATGCCAGACACTTAAAGGGCTGGTTATATTTCACACAGCAGTGTGTCGCAGTGAGCTTGTAGCAGATATTTTTGATTTATGCCATATTGAAGCGTGGTCTGAGCTATGTTATTCCATGCCACAACGCAAGAGGGACAATAACGAACTAGCTGTGGGTCTAGATACGGCCGTGGCGGTGAGGAACTGGAAAAACGAAAGGGGAAAGTTTGTGCAAGAACAGAGGGACATGAGGGCGAAAAAGAGCGGGGATCCAGGTGGAAAAAGGGTTCCAGCGTTCTTGTGCACCTTGCTCTTCTAGGTGGTCCAACTCCACGAGTAGTTTTCCGCATCATATAAACAAAACAAGCCAGTAAGGTACCAAACAGGAAATACGCATAGTGTAGAGCGGATGTAGAATTGACAAATCAGATGCCTCCTGTCTGTGGCACCGCCTGCGGTCACCTACAATTTTGGATAGGTGCAGCAGAGTGTCTGCAGCAGGCTAGGGGGCACATCTGCATTCACTGTTATACACATGCAGACAATCTAGTTTCTGAGAATAAATCCGCCTTAAAGCCGGGCATACCCCATTTAGGAATTGTAAAGTTGGGAGAAAATCACACATGTTTGAAATTCAGTTGGCCGTCATAAGGTGGCCATGGGCAAATCGCTCAGTGGCAGGTGTAGACAAGGATTCTGCTTCCTCTCAGACGAATATACAGAAGCATGACAGTGGAGCCAATGAAATGGAGTTCTTCTGTAAGATTGAATGACCGTAGTAGCCACTTTTGCTCAGACATGTCTTTGTTGAAATATGTCATTGCCTTTTCTTTTTAGGGCTTTCAGAACACAAAATTGCACAAATTTCAAAATTTCAAATTTCAAATAGAATATGTTTTGCTCTTCAAAGAGCTTCTTCAATTGTGGATGACACTGTTTTTGAATTTGATAATTTTTTGTTTATCTCTATGTTTTCTGGATTTCTTCTTTCTTGACGAAGATTGGGGAGTTTTTTTTTTTTAAGTACTTATGTTTTTTTTTTCATTTCCTTATATCTTCTAAGTGTAGAGTAGCAGTGGGTTTTTGTTCTAGTCAGAAATAAAAAAAAGTACAATTGATTTCTTGAAGAGGAAAAAGTTTCAATTTTTTTTTCCTGATTAATTATATGTTTTTATTGAGCAAAAAGAAAAAGATCCAGAGACAGAATCTCCTGTCCACTTGACCTCAGAATGTGTAAAACAAATAGAATATATAATTGAAACAATAATTCTTCAACTGAAACAAAAAAATGTATTTTTATGAATATGTCTGGTAGATTTCACTTTATTTCCAGGGAAGTTACTTGCTTTTGGGAGAGAAGCCAGTAACAGTAGTGATACTTAACATAGTCATCTTACTGAAGATGACTCTAGAAGTGTAGTTACTAAGCACCCTTTATTGTGGCAGATAGGTGCTCATCCTGAACTGGATTTTCATGGAAATTATCCTCTCTGCCATCATTACTTGCACACTACTGTAAAATGGTTTGCTATTACATCGTCAACACAATTCAAGTTCTAGTCTACTGTTGCTACAAGTTAGTACAGAAGGAGTGAATGCTGTGTGTTAGTGACTTGATCTGATCTGAACTTTAAAGCATTGTTTGATAACTGGAATACAAATGGGGTGTGTGTAAATTACCTGGAATAGATCTGTATAAAAAAAAAGTGAGATAAAAACAGTGCAGTTTTACATGGTGCATAATGGTTTCCTCTGTAAGTTGTACACTTACCTTGCATAAATAAACTTAAACAGAGCTCTGTTTAGCATTGTTATGTTCTCATTTTTTACCAAACTCATTTATTCTTTTATCTCTGCAGTTACCTGTGTGACATAGACAGAATCGCGGCACCAGGTTATATTCCAAATTTGCAGGATATCTTGAGGGCCAGGGCTCCCACCATGGGTATTATAGAGTACCCATTCGACATGAAGCCATTTATCTTCAGGTATGATTCCCATTTAGTAGTAAAATAAAACTCCTGGAAATAATTGTTTTATCTTTCAAAAGTTTTGTTTTCCTGTTTGCAAGATGTAAACAAAAATAGCTTATATATATTAAAAAGCACTTCTGTGTTTGTAGGATGGTTGATGTGGGTGGGCAGCGTTCAGAAAGAAAAAAGTGGATTCACTGCTTTGAAGATGTCACCTCCATCATATTCCTGGCAGCACTCAATGAATATGATCAAGTTCTTCATGAGAGTGTGAGGGATGTAAGTTCTACGCCTATGGCTTCTCTATAATATGTTCTTTGCTTCACTTTAAGATTGTTCTGAAAATTTGTTGTAACTTTAACTATTTGTGTTTTAGAATCGACTGGTTGAGAGCCTTGCCCTGTTTAGGACAATAATTTCATCTATATGGTTTCAAAAGTCTTCCACAATCCTCTTTCTAAATAAAAAAGACCTGCTAGAGGAGAAAATAAAAACATCACACTTGGCAACATACTTCCCAAGCTATAGTGGTAAATAATTGCTTTGCTCTAAATTTTTTTCTCTTTTCATTTATTTGTTTGCTTAGTTTAAAAAAGTCTAAAAAACATGGAATCATGGTTAAAACAGCTTTATGAAAATTTTTAAAATATTGTGATTATATATTGACCTTTACAATTTTCAATGAATTATGTACTAAAAGATAAACCAGGCTTTTAGCTAGGAATCTTTTATAGGGTATACACCTTGGTGTAGTACATCTTTAGACTTTGGGGAGCGTAGGGGGGTCCAGAGTATTCTCCCCGGGAAAATTTTGAAATGTAGACTCTCTAAATAGAATGCAGGAAACTTTTTATCTTTGCCTCAACACTACTTTTTTTTCTGATTATGGGAAGTATCTTTGATTTACTAGAGGTGGAAATTTCATAAGAAAGAAATGAGATAATTTTTTTAATTCAAACAATCAGTGTAGTACAGTGCTACGTTCACACCACAATTTGATAAGGAAATAAACTGCCTGCTGCTTATTTTTGATGCGTGTAAACATTAAGCTCCGATGCGCCTGAAGCATGTCCAGGAAAGTGTGTACAGATGCGTTTAATGCTTCGGCTTCTCTTGTGACCAATGGCAGGGAGCAGCTTTGCTATATTTGTTGTTATAAGTGGATAAAAAGTAGTTTTTAATTTATTTTTATGTGAAAAAGTCGGTGTCGTCTGTTCATCGGGATCCTGCCTTAAAATGCAGGTGCGCTGTCACAGAGAATCCCCAGCAGCTGCCTCAGGCCTGGTCGCCTCCAGGGGATTTCCCCACTGTTTGTGGTGGCTGGAAGTAGATGTTAGCGTTTTTTAGGTATGTGGTAAAAGGCACCAGAATAATAAAAGCTAACATATTTTGCCGGCAGGTGTCGACATTAATTTAGGAATTAAAAAACAGTTTTAGTGGAGTGGTCATATCGCTCTGCATCAGCAGCGCTGTGTCGATCTCCCTGCTTTTCTAATTAGTTGATGTGGTACAAAAGTTCAAATTTCCAACTCCTGCATTTGCTGCTTGCGAAATTTTGAACATTTGAGTGAAGTCGCCAGAGGCAAAACAGGGCGTTCAACCATGCTTCTGTGTTTTCGTATGAGAGGATAAAGAAGAATCCTTGTTTGCGCATGCCCACTGAGCGATTTGCCAAAGACGGTCGACTGATCACCCGATCTCACGATTCCTGATCGGGAGGTGGTTGTAAGAGGCTGATTGCCCCTCGTTACCCCCTGTATTTGAATTTGGATTGCACAAAGAATCCATCTGGAAACTGGCTCCTGTGGAAAGTGCTTGCAAATAGGAGGAACATTCAGTGCAATTTTTTTTGAGCACTCAACATGTGTCACCAATAGCAAGGGGCTTCACGGTCAGAAATAAGTTTTTTGTTGTAATACAAACACAGCAACAGCTATATGGCTTTTCAAAGACTCATAGTAAGAAAAAAAGAAGGCTGCAGGTGTGTGAAGGACGTGATGTTGCTCTGATAATACAATGCTTACTTGCTATGATGGTCATATACCATACCATGCCATGACATACAGAGTTTATTTATAAAACACTTTAAATAGCAAATAGGGCCAAAGTGCTATACACAACCTTAAGTCACAAAATATACACATTTGGGTCAGGCATACAATGATTTATTATTTTTTTAAATGTGAATACTGTGAAGAAATGCCACCATTTACCCAGTTGTGATTAACAGTCTGCTGACAGTTTTATTAACATGACTCTACTCTGCTGGAACCACATCCGAGCAAAGAAACAGTCAAACTGTCTGTCATTAATGGAAATGCCTACAAAGGTAGTTGAGCTGTGCAAGCAAGCAGAAACTCTGGAATGGACTAGCAACCCTGTGTCTTGCCCACCTGCTTTTCTGTCTTGTCAAACACTCCTTAGGTTGTAACAGATGGCTCACCTGAACCAGGCTCTGCCGAACTTTTCATCCTTTACGAGGAGGTTTTCTTCACGCTTTCTACATCCATCCTCAGTACAAGAATTTACTGTAGAGTCAGCATTTTAGGCAGGAATTAGTCATGTTGATACACATTACTTTAGCCTTTGTAAGCTTTCTTACCTACCCCTTTTCTTATGGTGTTATGTCACCAAGATCATATGTATATACCTGTTAAAAAATGCAAACCGAATATAGCAAATATAGCACCCAGACAAAAATCAACCTCTTATTATTCTTGATTTACTGTTACAGGAAATCCTGTTGGGATTTAAAATCCTATGAAGACAGAGTTGTAAATAAAACTTTTTCTTACAGAAAACATGTGCTGGTTCAATGACTTGAAACAGAAAAATAATATAAGTCCAAAAAGATTTGTTAAAAATAATCACTGAAGGTGAAATTGTGATTTTTTCTTAACATAAACCATTCAACCATAAAGTGCCTCACATGTGCCTCACATGTAAAAAGTAAGGCACTTGATTTGAGCAAATCAAATGTTACTTTTCTCCTGGTGGTTTAAACAGCATGGGATTCATGTGATTTATACTTTTTCTATGTTACATAATATTTTAAAATGTAGATGATTTGAAAGGTCCCATTCAGTGCTGATATTGAACAAATCTCACTCTTACAGGACGTCAATGTGATGCTGAATCAGCAAAGGTGTTCATCCAGCAGATGTTCATCCAGTGTTACAAAGACAAGGATAAACCCCTCTACACACACTTCACCTGTGCTACAGACACAGAGAACATCCGGTTTGTCTTTGCATCAGTCAAAGATACAATCTTAAAAGAACATTTAAAAATATATGGACTTCTATAAACCAGAAAGAAGACATGATGGTTCATAGAAAACTTTCAAGTGGTCTTCAAATCAGTTAAAGACAACTTTCCTTTTACTGTTGCCTTTTTTAGGTCCTGATATATACAAGGATGGAGTTTTTGCTTTCTATCTATTGTGACAAATGTTTGTGTTTGTTGTAAAAGAAAACAAAAAAATCCCTTGATGTGGGGACTTTAATCTGTTTACACAGTCAAGCCATGGGGACTAATGTCCTTATGGGGACCAGAATCCTGGTCCGTGTATATTTTTGTGAAAGTGTCATGTACTGTGTAAATGTGTCATGTATTATGAAAACTGGATTTGCTGTTTGTTGTGTTTTCTTCATATCAGAAATCTGATTTATTTTTGTTTGACAAAATATTTATTGAAAGACTGTTTAGAAAAGTTTTAAAATATTGTTTTTATGAAGGAACATTTTAAAATCTTTTGGCCCTAAAAGCCTTTGTTTGCAAGAGCGCCCTGTACATTGTTTGTGTGCTTTACTCTTATTTATTTAATTTATTTGAATTAGGACAATGCACATTCATCAACATGTCAGCATAAAGCATCAATGTAAATATGCCAGAATTAGCACAACAGCTAATTTGCATCTGCTGTCCTAAGGCAGGTAAAAACAGTGGATATTAAACAAGACGCTACAGGAGAGAACAGCGTGGACACAAACAGATAAGATGCCAATAACATAAAATCGCAATAAAATTAGGTTAGCAATAAAATAAGGTTAACAGGCCCATGGAGACAGATCAATTTACCTATGAACACATGTCTGGTTAGTTTTCAACCAATGTTTCAAGGAGAATTTAAAACGTATGTAGGTTACACAGCCCCTAACATGAGCTGGCAGTGTGTTCTATAACTGTGAGCCTCTGATAGATGCAACCATTTGGCCAAATTTGGTCCTACACCGCTGAACATTACAGTCTCCTCTGGTTAAAGCTCTAGTGTTTATTCTAGTAATGTTTTTTTTTTTGCTTATAAAATCTGTTAGAGGAGGAGGAGCAAGTCCATTTAAAACTTTAAAAACAAGGCATGCATCCAGAAACATTTGATAACGTTCTCTGTGCCAGTAACAGTTTTTGTGTCTTCACGTTTCACCTTCTCCTACTGAAAAAAAAAGAAAACAGTAAGGTTATTAATTAGATTATGGATGTTATAGTAAACATTTATCACAGTTGAGTAAACTTCTCCACTGTGAGATCAATAAAGTCAATCAATCAATCAATAAATCAGTTGCATATAGTTTACCTCTCCAGATTAAAAAGAAACATTTGTGCCAATATAATTGCATTACCCTGCTGTTTTTGTTAGCTGTCTCAAGAAGTTATGGTGTATTTTGTCTTTGATAATGTGCTCTGGTTTTTAGAGTGAGCATCTATTGTTTTTCAATTGATCATTTCATAAAATTGGTGGCATTGTTCTTTAGCTGAGTTATATTTTTCTTGTTTTGTCCTTAATGACCACCCCTTCAAGTTTTTGTTACATAACTTTGGTCAATATAGGACTTAAAAATTTTTGTTTTGTTTATGAAAATCCTTCACATTTTAGTTGACGTATAGTTTTAGCTGATGTACAAGGCTTTGTAAATGTCCTCAGAACCGTTGAACTTTTGTGATGTTATAAAAATTTCAGCGTATTTTATTGTCATTTCATTTTATAAACCCATACAAAATAGTAAAAGATAACAAACATTTTTGATCATTTATTTTCTTTCAAATATGAAAATTTTCGAATGCTTTAGTGTTTAAATATCCTAAGTTTATTCATATGCAATGACTTGCCTTCACACACAACTGACCTTATTTACCTCTGACAAATTTAATCTCAGTAAAAATCCAACTATCTTTAAAGGCCTTTCTTGACAACTACCATGGAACATAGTTGATGCATCAAGGCTAAGTTGTATGGCTAATTAGGCATTATTAGATTATGAAATCAGACCTATAATAATAGCATCAAGACAAGCCCATATTTCCCAACTTCACTTGAAAGGCTTACAAATAGAATAAGTTGCCAAGACATCTGTAGTAATTCTGGAGAAGCTGCAGAGATCCACAACTCAGGTGGGAAAATCTGTTGACAGGCCAATTACAGTAGCTCTGCAAACTGTCAAGTAGGCTAACTGAAATATTTTTTTTACTTAGTTTAAACCCATAAAAAATAAAAATGATATGCTTTTCCTAACAAACCACTAGTGGGCAGTAAGGTCTCATGCGTACAGCCTTTGCTTAAAAAGGTTCTAACACTATGGGGCAGGTTTACTGCCCCATAGAGGCAGATGCTATTCTTGATTTGAACAAGACAATGGAATGTTTTTAAAATGTTGAACAGTGAAACCTGTTTTCATATCACGCTGGTTAGTTAGAAAACTTTTTTTTCTCTTTACATGCACAGTAGATAACGTCAAATCTTGCCAAAAACAGCAATTATGTGCATATAACTTTAGAGAGAAACCCTGGAGGAAACTAAGTTATATAGTAATGGCAGAGAGACCTTTTACCTCAAAAGAAGAATAGAAAAAAAAAGCTTGTGGAAAGATGAAAACTTCTAGTAAACAATTATAAGAAGGGTATGATTATTGTTTGAGTTGCTATTTTACTATTTGTTTGTAGTTTGTTCTTTGAAGTTAAGAATGTTTAAAAGAGAAGATACTATATTCCTCCTTCTTTAGGTCATAGTGTTTGCATTTGTTGTCACATACAAAATTTGGAAAACTCAGACCTCCTCTCTACAATATGTTGACCGTTTTAGAGTGAAGCCTGATACTTGTGAGGACTATACTGTCCATGATTCTTGGTAGGCTCTGTAACAGTCATAATTGTGTAGTGTCTCTTTAAGATACTCTGGTTTTGCTACGCGCCCTTGCTTCTCTGGCGGGAGATGTGAAACAGTGAGATACATGCACTCAGACATGTTAATTCCCTATTTTTCTTTGTAATGTCACGTGTTGTTTGGACTCTGCTCATTCTTCATGTTTAAGAATATAGCAGCTGTTCAACTGGGAAGAGTGCGCTTATTTAAAGACAACACTGTGGAGTTCCCAGTATCAGTGTCGTTGTGAGTTTTTGACCGTCCTCTCTTTCCTTAAACGCAACCCTAAGCGTTACAGCTCTCAAATTCTAAGGAGGAATCAAACAAAAGTTTAATAATATAAATGCACAGTACAGACCAAAAGTTTGGACACACCTTCTCATTCAAAGAGTTTTCTTTATTTTCATGACTATGAAAATTGTAGATTCACACTAAAGGCATCAAAACTATGAATTAACACATGTGGAAGTATATACTTAACAAAAAAGTGTGAAACAACTGAAAATATGTCTTATATTCTAGGTTCTTCAAAGTAGATTACTGCTTCAAGAGGTATTAAACCCTGTCAGGTTTAATAATTGGGATTTCTTGCCTTATGGGGTAGGGACCGTTAGTTGTGTTGTGCAGAAGTCAGTAGAATACACAGCTGATAGTCCTGTTGAATAGACTGTTAGAATTTTTATTGTGACAAGAAAAAAGCAGCGATGTAAAGAAAAACGAGTGGCCATCAATACTTGAACAAATGAAAGTCAGTCAGTCAGAAAAATTGGCAAAACTTTGAAAGTGTCTCCAAGTGCAGTCGCAAAAACCATCAAGCACTACAAAGAAACTGGCTCACACTAGCCCCTCAACTGCAAAGAGACACTACAATTGTGTAGTGTCTCTTTAAGATACTCTGGTTTTGCTACGCGCCACTGCGGTCATATCCGCCACTTATAAGCGGATATGACTGGCTCATATTTACTCATATAAATGTGAGTCAAGCTGACTCTTAAAAGCTAGTAGCTACGATGGTAACCATCAAGCAAGGGATCACAAAATGTTGGACTGTGCCAAAACTATATGGTCATAAAAATTCCTTCATGTCAGAGTACATGTCAGATTAAATAATACTACTTCAGTGATAGTATCTAGGTGTTACTTTATTGTATGTCTCGTCGTACCATGTCATGACACACAGCAAGACATAGTTTAGCTGTGAATATGGCAGTTTTAACATTAGAAACACAGGCAGGGAGTACTACCAAAGAGAAGACAATCCAAAAGCTTACTTTTTGGCAGACCAACAGATGGAACTGTTGGTTGTAACACTTTTGTGGTGGTTGTAACACTTTTGCTACTCAAGGTCACTCCACACTAGCATGACAGCATCCATCCATCCATCGTTGCTGCTTAATCTCTGGGGGAAAAGGCAGATACCTGACCTTAATGCAAAAGCAGCATTGACTGTTTATTTTTAAAAATCAAGTTCGAGAAACGACCAGGTTGCTGCTCATTTGCACCACCATGTTGGTTGGCCTCATCAGAGATGACAAAGACCAGGACTACAAAGAGGAAGTGGAGCAGCTGTAGGGCTGGTGAAGAGATAACAGCCTGATCCTGAATTAGAAGAAGGAGATCATCTTGGACTTCAGGAAGATCTGGCCTAACCACACTCCACAGCTCAGAGCATTCTGATCAGCTGTCTCACTGTGTGGTGTGGAGGCTGCAGCATCTCAGACTGGGAGAATGAGAGAAGAGTGGTGGAACCGCAGAGAGGATCATTGGGGCTCCTCTTGCCTCTATAAAAGACATTTCATCCTAGCACTGCATGTCCCAGCCCGTAACATCATCAATGACCCCTCACACCACAACCACAGACTGTTCTCCCTGCTGCCCTCTGGGAAGAAGCCTCGCAGCATCTGTTGCAGGTTCAGCAGGTTCTGTAACAGCTTTTTACCCACTGCCATCAGACAGTTGAATTGCTGAAAAACTAAATCAAGTCACTAATCGAGACTCTGCAACATACTGATAATATAACAGTTTTAGTACATGGTGAATCTTCAAAAGAGAGCTCAACTCAAATGTTTCTTTCTGCATTTTGCACCATATCTATTTATTTATTTTTGCACTGCTCTGAACCTGTCACATCAATGCCTTTTTGCACCATTTCCCTCCCAAACATGTTGATCCCTGCTGTACTCAATTGTTCTTTTTCACTGCTAAGCTGCTGCTAAAAAAAAAACACTGTCGGAAAGCTGTATACAAATGAAATTTTGTTTTGTATACACTCTGTGTATAAAAAAAATGACAAGAAAGTTTGCCTAGTCTAAATCTAAAATATTTTGGTGCTCCCAATAGCCAGTCTGCCTTTGTTATTATACTACTATAGAGTTTAACCTGTCGAGTGATTAACTTTTTTAAACATCTGCATCACAAAGATATGGCTATTGATAAAAAAAAAGGTATACATATAACTAAAGTTTACATTGTGTCTATAATGAATCCATTATAGACCTGTCCAGCTGACGGGTCTATGCCTGCACAAAGTGCCGTTTTCCACTTCACCAACTGTCCCCCAAAATTTCAAGTTTAGGAATTTTAGTTACAGCAAAATTTTTGACAAAAAAAATAAATTAATAACTAAAAAAAAATCAATGGCAGTTTGAGATGATCCAAACAAATATTAAACATATAATGAATCCAAATAATCTAGTTAAAATGACTAGAAATGTAAAGTTAAAAACTGGTTTATTCATATAGAATTCTAGAATCTTTTGCTGCTACTAAGTTTGACAGGGTGTGCTGAACTGCAAAGGTCTGCCTATTATTAAAAATTTGAGTCATCCTGCAGGCATGCACCCTATGATCATGGGAAATGTCTGCTTGGTAAATAAGTCATTACAATCATGACCTGATACAACAGATTATTGGTGATAGACAGGCTTGGCTTTCTATGGAAGTTTACAAGGGTCATATATATAAAAAAATTACTAGAATTTAGTTTAACTAAACTTTAGCACAAAGTTGTGGCTATAGTGAAAATGCTGTGTGGGTAGTGACTTTGGAAAACCACTAGCCACAATTGCGAGTGAGCAAAACGTTAATAATAAGCCCTGGTAATATTCTAAAACTATCTTAAAAATGAATGTGGAAGCCATTCCAACTTTTCCTGCCTACATTGTTGGTAAGTTCTACAAACTCATTCTCATAACAGAATGAATTCAGTCTTATTCCACTCTGTCAACCTAGTTCATATGGTACATTTACTAATTCTCTATCTCTCTCTAATTAGTCTTGTCTTTCATTGAAGTATTCTTATAAATATTCATCTTCATTATTATTACATCTAATCTATCTTCAGACATTCAACTACAGTAGAATTGTCAACTTAACTATCGTCTTTAATAAAGGGGAGCATTTTACATTGGTGATGAAGGGGTGTGCAAAGTATTGATAAATAAAGTAAAGATCAATGTTAAAATGTGGTACTTAAATTTTGCAGTTTATGCCTTTGAAAACCAGGACTTAGTTGTAAGATAATAGTTTTTCTGTTAGTGTTCTAGTCAAGACCACACCAAGTAAGACTAAGCAGTACTGAGACAGAGACAAGGCCAAGACCTGTGAAGGCCGAGACCAAAACACGACCGAGATATTTAGAGGCTAAGAGCAAGACCATGGTTTTATATTATGTGACTCTTTTTGAAACAAGAGAGGTATCCTGCCAAAACAGGTTTGACAATGGCCAAAAGAAAGTCATAAGGTAAAAGATTAAACACTGTCATTGTTATTATCTTTAAGGCATTGCATAGTTCATAAGAATGTTTTTAAATTTACTACAGGAATGAAATTGTTTTATTACTTAATAAGGAACTTGATAGTGTTTTTTTTTTTTTTGCCGAATTAGCAAGTTGTAGCTTTTTTTTATTCGTGAGAGTTTCAAAAACTTTTCTGCCATTTCTAACTTCAACATTCTTGCTATTCTCAAAATATACCTGTTCACGTTTAACTAGGCAGCAATGACAAATACAGGTTGATATAGTAAACATAGCGTGAGTTACTCCTGGGTGTGCCTGTAATCTGCTTGTGTATGATGTCACGTTAACTTTTTGTAGTTTAAGAGAGCAAATCCTTTATATATTTATGATTTAATGTGGTTTTCTTCAAAACAATAAAATTAATCCCATTCATTTTTTCTATTTGAAATAGCAACTGATAGCCCTTGTCTCCATTTTTTCCCATGGAGATTTCCCAGAACAAAGAAAAAAAAAAAAAGGAGTTACTGATCTCAGCTCTTTCTTTAAGGTAGAGTCCGCCTCCTACCTGGTAGGAATGCAAAATGTAGTCATACTGGAAAAATGACTTAGCCTCTTTCTTCTTCATGTGGCAGTTATGAAACACATTAAGTTACTTTTATTTTACCCGTCAACTCTCCAGCACAGCTTTGGAAGTTGGTAAACACGGTCAACAATGGAGTGCAATTGCAACTTGACTCCTGAGGAGAGAGAGGGTCAGAGGATATCCAAGGAAATAGAAAAACAACTCAAAAAGGACAAAGAGAAACAGAAACGGGATTTGAAACTGCTGCTTTTAGGTGAGATCTTATGAGTAATATTTTTTGGGTATTTGTTATTTTTCTGTGACCATGTGGGGGCTATAGAAGTGGGGCTGTCGGGCATTTAGCAGGTCGGGTAATGGGGGTTAAGTTGATGGTATGTGTCAAAGTTCCACCTACTTTATGTCCACATGGTGGGCATGACCTGTTGTATCCCAGCAAGACATTCCCCAAACTTTCAGCTTGCCTAACAGTTCATTCTCGTTGCATTTGTCCTGTAGGTTATGGAGTATGCTCACACAGATCCGATCCCTCTGCTGAGCTTAAAAAAAAAAACATGGTTCATTAACCCAGGCCAAATTCTTCTTTTTTCTCTGTGGTCCACTTGTGATGCCTATGTACTCATTGTTGTTAGTGTAAGTGATGGACAGTGGTCAGCAAAGAGATCCGTTTAAGACTGCAGCTACAAAGCCTCTTCAGCAGCAATTCAAACTGTTTTAGTGATTCTCTGCATAAATGGACCTGTTCACTCATGGATGAAATTTTGATTTCACAAGTATTTTTAATATCAAATATAGGTTCAGGGTGTTTTCTAATAGACCTTCTGTGTTTATTTCCTCAACTTTCTCTTGCATCTCTGCTGTCCCTCTCCTGGCGAAATAAATGGATTTATGACATGAACTATTAAAAAAGTGCAGTGGACATGTCCCCCATGCCCCCAACCCCCAATCTACACTAACCGAAACTTGCTACACACATATTTAGGTATTTACAGTCTAAATAACTAATTTATCATTCTGCATAATAGAATTACGCCCTTGAAAGTATAGAGGACAATCTGGAGGGTGGATCCTCTAAATAAGTGGTCCTCCTAATTGTCAATCATTCTGCTGATATTTTTACGTAAAGCCATCCTACGTGCTCTTCCTGTTAGCTATCTTTTTCTGTGCATGTTCACTTTCAGGTTTATGTATATCTGTGGTGAGCTACGGTTTCAGACAGTCATTGAAGCTCACCTTTCTCACGGCGGTTCTTTAAAAAATGTCCGAGGGTTGAAGAGAAGAAGTGTCTATGAAGTGTACTAGAAGAAGAAAAAGGCCTCCGATGGGGCAGATATATCCCTGAATGCTTTGCGCTGATACTGTAGCTCTCCTTGCAAAGAATTATGGGATTTGCTGTCACAGGGGCATGCTGTTACCATAGACTGTCGCTACCTGACAGCGGCGACTAATAACAAAGATAGCACAGGCATTAGGCAGTGGAGTAGGAGTTGCGTAAAAAAGCAGTGATCACCTTTCCTAACAGTAAGTTAACTGACTTTTCTATATAGTCCCTGCTCCAAATAGTGATTGAGGGATTTTAGACTTTCAGGCACAGTAAGCTTGTGTGAGCTATGAGAACAGCAACTTTTAAACAGAGCATGGATGAGGAGAAATGGGCTTGTGCATGCTCTCGCACAGGTTTAATAGGTTTTCCCTCCCGGGAGCGGATACAGGGTTGTATATGTGCATTTTTGTTTTATTGGAGAGGGCGGGTCTTTTGAAAAATTCGCGAAAATCCTTCACAATACCTTTAATTTGGCCACGGGCCTTACAGGTGCGTAAAGCATGAACCTGTATGTCATTTTTAGCTTCACGCCCCTCCACGCCGACTCCGTGCAGACAGAATTTCAAAGGGTTCACAAACATCAAGATAAATTACGTGATTTAGCTCATAAATATCACCATTATCAACAGATTGTGGGCAAAATCCAGGAAAGAAATGACTGTAGCTCTTGAACAGCATGAAAAAGCTTTGATAAAGCTATAAACTGCCGCACAGAGCAGTGTATAAATACTGCTTAGGATGGCTCATTTCCAGTGTGGAATGTCTGTGTTTTAAGCATAATGAACCCTTTAGCCAGCTCCACCCGTTCACAAGAGGCATCTACTAGCTTTTAAACCTCCCTCCTCCCAAAAAATAAAAATAAAAAATATAATTTCTATTTATATACAGGTTAGTTATTCTTGCTTACTTTGCTGTGTCCTGACTCCTGCAGGTCAATAAAATTAGTAAAGTGATTATTATTAGTGTATTGTTATCAGTATCGGGCAGTGACAATATTCTGACATTGATTATCTCAGCTGTTGTTTTAATGGTTGCACAAGCATCCATGTATAAAGTGAGAAACAGGTGATTCTTTTGAAGGATATCCATTCAACGATGGTCGAAGAAGGACCACTTAGCTCTATAAATCAATGTAGAATTCTTCTTTGTGAAATAATCTCCAGAGGTTCGGAGCTCCTAGAACAGAGCGAGCGTTCTTGTTAAGCTTTTTACAGCGTTTTCATAGGATTGTTTATTCGAACTCTGACTACATTGTATTTGATTTATCAACTGTTATTTCTACAAACAAATCAAAAAGTAGGATTAAATGAAAAAATTATTTAGGGAACATTTTAGGGAGGCTTTAATACCACTAAAATTCTCAAGTACCCAGAATGTAGGAAATAATATTCAAGGCGAAAACTGAGAAATTTCAAAACGTTTAATAAAATAAACAAAACAAAAAACAGAGAATAGAACGCGGACCTGCAGAGGCTGCGGGGGGAGTTGGGGCACAACCTATCACTGGCACTTTGGTTCAGGGAGAAAAACAGGTAAGGGACCACGACAGTCTTATGGAAGATGATCATCCATGTGAGTCACTTACCTGGTTTATCTTTAGTCCAGGCAGGATCCAGCTGATAGACTCCCAAATGAGATACAGAACAGAGCTGCCCAGAGCGTCCCTGATCCAGCAGCCTCAGTGAGCAGGCAGAAGTCCAAACCAGATTAGGCAAACAGCTCAGAACAGGGTGGATCTGGGATCCAAGAGTCTGCATCCCGGTCAGGGGCTCCGATCCGAATGGGAACAGACAGATCCAGGGTTCCAGGAATCCACAGAGCGTGAAAGCAGGTCCAGAGTTCCATGAGTCCAGCAGCGAGCTCAGGCAAACATGCTCAGACAGAAACAGGCAGGTACTCGAGTAGAGAGGCAGAGACAAGACATGGTACCAGGAGGAACTTTTAACTGGCCTCCTCCCTGAGCCAAAGCCCCCCACCTCCACGAGCGGGCTCACGGGCAAGAGCCAGGACACTAATGCCCCTCTCTACTGGCCCCCAGAGCAAGGACATGAACAATGGAGAAACTCAAACTATTGAACAAAAATACATCATCAGTGAGCTGGCCCCCATAGCTGGGCTAAGCCAGAGCAGCAGATTCAGATGAATAAGATGAGTAATGATTAGATAACAGGCAGAGTTAGGCAGGTGAGTGAAATGAACAATTAGGGTAGCTATCAGGGAAGATCATGACAAAAACAGACCTAGTGAAATCACTGGCTTACACTTCATATCTCTGCTTAACAAAATGTTCACTTGTTGGCCCAAAAAGCATGTCATTCTCCTTAAAAATACACCCAAGTGTTAGCTTAGTTTGAGATATATCAAAAGACGCTTTAGGTAAAAATACAATGCTTGTGCATGTTGCATGTGTCTGTTTTGCCCTGCGAATTGACACTGGAAATAGGCCCAATTTGACTCTGACAGATAAGCAGAAGAGTGAGGGAGGGCGGCTGGATGGATGGATGGATGGATGGATGGATGGATGGATGGATGGATGGATGGATGGATGGATGGATGGATGGATGGATGGATGGATGGATTCAATTCAATTTAATTCCACTCAATTCAATTCTGTAATACTTTATTGATCCCCACAAGGAAATTCAATTCATACAGTTATGGATGGATGAATGATGTAGGATTTAATCTAGAGTGGTGAATGTACCCTTTCTTTACAACTAAATCCATGACTTATCAAACTGTTGGTCAACAGTGGTCAGCTATCAGATTCCAAAACCCAAAAGAAGACTGTTAAATTTGTCAATTGTTCAGTGTTGTAAGTTGCTTTCAGAGTCGCACATCCTGAAGGTTACTGATCCAGACCTTCTTCTGTCTAAAAGTTACATTGTGTAGCTGCTTTTCTACCTTTTAATGAACTATATTGAAATTTTATGTGACAGACCAACACAAAGCTGTGCATATTTTTGAAGATGGAAAAAGTGTCTCACAGTTTTTCTTCCAGTGTTACCGATATTTAGTGCATATATCTTCATCTATTGTTATACAATAGTTTAGAAATACGTCCACCATTGTGGAAATTAATCTCAATATTATTCCAGCTGCTCTGTTTAGGCCTTTAATATCTATAAGCAAAAAGACAATATGAGCCTGAGTTATACATTGGTTCAGAATCTTACAGCAAATATCCATAATGTTCAAGTTTTCACAAAGCCCTGTCTTAAGCCTGTTACATACAGTATTCCCCAAGAACTGAGCAATGTACTCTTGTCCTTGAACTGGCAAGAACAACAAAATTTTATAATGGTTTGAGAATTCTTATTTCATGCGAAGCAAAGCTGCAGAACTTCAAAAGAAAGTTCTATCTACTTTAGCGTACATCACACTAGCAAAAGAAAGAGAAACACAAAAGCTAAGGATCGCCCTTTTTGGGATTGATGGGGAGAATGGAGAGAGCAAAATACTTTAACTTGGAAGAGATATAGAAGGGGTAACCAAATAAAAATCGTCAGGGTCCGAATAAAGAAAATCAACCAGTAAAGGTCCGGAGACATTTCTAATTATAATCTGTTACTTTAAACAGAATTTAACACTGAAATAACATAAGGTGTTTATGCATCCATGTTATACTGTCTTTAAAAAAAAAAAAAATGAACACAATAATTGTTCAGCTTGGTATACAGACAATTTCCTGATTCACATATTTTATAAAACACCTGAACTGACCTGATCTGACTCATCGGTTAATTTTACATGGGTCAGCTGTTTTACTATCTTTTGTTGTTGACTTTTGTTCCCTGTTTTAGTAAAATTACTTGATCAAGCCTGTCCTACCATACTACAAAAAAAAAAAAAGTAATAAAGGCTGGTATTATCTCTACAAATATAGTATTAGGTCAATATTGCTATCACATTGGAAATGAAAAAGTTGTATCAGGACATCCCTAAAGACATATACAATGTTCACATTTTCTTTTGCAGACTTATTCTAAAACAATCCATTAGATAAATTTCTTTATAACTTCCCTTGTAATATGGGGTGCATGCTGCACATAGAAAACTAAGCAAATCATTGCCACTTTTTCTTCTTAGTAATGCCAATCACACAACTTTTCTTGAACATGTTGTGAGGAAAAAATAGAGGCTCTGCCCAAATTTTGTGTCTGAAAAATCAGCACAAAGCAGAGCAAAATTTCATTATTTTCCTGTGGCTATAAGAGAAACTATGTAATGGGCTTAATAGATCACTTCCTCTAGCAGGACACTGGCCCTTAACACACACCTAGAGCCTATTCAAGAGGTTTAAATCAAACCATGAGCATATATCAATGAACTAAACTGAATGTATCAGAACAGAACTTGAACAGTTGTCTCAAAGTCAATTAATTGCGGCCACTCTACTTAAACATTTCACACCTGTATAAAGGGCTTAAACTGCTGCACTAATATACTATCAAGCTCTACAGAACTCTGCTAATGAACAAATATTTGTTTTTAAGCACGCTTGATGTATGTAGGACATTGTCCCTCAAGGACTGGGGTCCAATGGGGAATCTCTGGAAAGTTGAAAACTGTTGTTTTTTTGACACTTCCCATCTAATCTAATAGTAGTTTAGACACTAAAGAAAAAGTGACAAAAATTCTAGTCTGTAGATAGACATAACATAGAAAATATTTTTCAACCTTGGACATGCAGATAGATCTCCCTGCATGTTTTAGATGTTTCCCTTGTTCAACACAACTGATTCTGCTGATTGCATATTACAGGCTGCAATCATCTGAATCAGGTGGATAAGAGTCGGAGCAAATTTTGATATGATATACAAAAACACCACCCTAAAAAGACTAAAAGCCACAGTAAAATTGAATAAAGTGAATGTGTTGTACATAGCCATGTCTTTAGACCTGGACCTCTGGGGATTAACCCATAGATGTTTTCTAAATAGGTCAGGATATTATAGAAGAACATGCTTTGAAGATCTTGTCTTATAAAATTGTGCTTTGAGCAACAAGATGAGATCAGATATCCCAACAATATTAAGGTAATTTTTTTTCTTCATAAAGCTCAGAAAAAATAATGATTTAAAAAAATCCTGTCGTTTAAGTTTAATTAAAATAAAGACATTTAGTTCTAAAGTTTCTTAAAATGATGCAATATCCCTCAGAATACCACAATGCATTTAATTGCTGTTGTCGGGTCCAACCCTCTCTGTCCTTCTTGATAACTTATGTGCTGCTTCTAAAGAAAATTTTATGCTTTTTTTAACAGTATAGAAATATAAAGAAATGGCTTAATTTGTGTGTACCATTAATTAGGAATATTTTTTGTTTCTGAAAACTACATTCAATTTTTAGTTTTATATAAACCAAACAAGACCCTCTTGCTGCAGGGCAACAGTGCTACAAACTGTAACACAATGCTGGAAGCATAATCAAGACAAATAAATGAATTCTTTGAATCTTACCATTTGACTGTAATTTAAGAAAAGAAGCAGTGTATATACAGTAGTCGAGTGTAACAAAAAAAGAAGGGGGATGGTGGAATTTCTTTTTTAGAAGCATATATAGCCTAATTAATATAGTCTATTACCTACAGCAATATGCATGGTATGGTTGTTACATGTCAGGTACGCCTGTCATTGACCTTGACCAAGGCACCTTACTGTAGAACTGCAGTCAGTCCCTGGACTGGCATGGTTATCACTGCCCCTATATAGTTACGGACAAATGCAGAGCATAAATTTTCCCACTGGGATCAGTTTCATAGTCATGGTAGGCCACTTCTTTGATTTTACTTTGAAAAATCTTTTGGCAATGAAGCTATTAAGATTTGGAACAAAACCTCACAAAACATAGCAAATGAATATCTGAATCCTTTCAAGTCAAGTATATTTTTATTCAAATTCAGTTATTTAAATAGAAGCAGCTGAAATACTTTCCAAAATCTGAAAAAACTGCTTACAAATTCGATTTTCAAATTAGCCTGAATATAAAATAAGCATATATAAAAGCTACGGTAATAATTTTACTCACCTTTGAAATATTCATTTACAGTATTTATTTTATAAAATACTGTTTATCATAAAATCAGTATTGCTTCTATTGGCTAATTTAAAGTAAGCTAGGCTACATGCTGGCAATAAATGAGTTAAAACTACTCCAACAGTTCCAATGAACTTTATTTACCATTGATCGGACGACAGGAATTCTGCAAGTCACACGAAGGACCTTGCAGTCAGATGTTAACATTTAATTCATTATTACCATTGGCCAGACATTAACATCACATTTGGAAGTTCTTTCAAGATACCAATCTTAACAGGTGTCTTAAAGTGCTTGATTAAAATGAATTTTTGTCTAATGTGGAAAAACTTGCATAATTGTAAACACAAATTATTTTTCAAACTAAGCAGGGGAGGGAGATCTCTGCAACTTAAAACCTGGAACATGCGGAAGATTCCATCCCCTCCTTATTTTCACATTCCCTCAAATCGTGTTTTCTTTGCAGCTTGACCCTGATGCTGTTCAGAACACCGTCACCTGCTCCGCTGGTTGCGCCACTGAGGTTGAAAATGAAATTGCATGAGCCCTCTGGGCCACTGTAATTTGGTCACTATTCGGAAGCGCATAGACTGCCATATGTTGAGAGTGCAATATTATTGCCATTACTGTTAATTAGAAATCTACACATTGAGTGATAAAATGTCACAGGGTTGGGATGGTATAGGGGGATGGTCATTTAAGATGGGGGAGGATTTTTAAGATTTTTTTAAGAAGGAGGATTCTATCCCACCTCATCCCCCCTCAACTCGAATACTAGTTATATATCTAAACAGAAAGGTTTTAAATTATGTAAAATAAACTACCTGGGCCTGAGCTAATGCCCCCATGTTTAACTACTCCAAAAACCCAAATGTTTAAGCATGTTTTCCTGAGAAAAAAGTTTTCTTTTTTGTATTATAGAAGTCGATAGCTCAAAAAGTAAGGAATCACTATTGTTCACAAAAATTTTTTTCCAGGTGTGTATACTGGTGGTATTGATTCAAGTATAAAGCTCATTCTTTTTTTCTGCCTTTCATAATTTGGGAATTTTCCTAGGCCCTGGTGAAAGCGGGAAGAGCACCTTCATCAAACAGATGAGGATCATACATGGCAAGGGATACGACGAATCGGACAGAAAAGGTTTTAATAAGCTAGTGTGCCAGAATATCATCACAGCCATCCAGGCACTGATTGAAGCCATGAGTGCACTAAAGATCGACTATCTTGATGACCAAAACATTGTAAGTTGTTGTACACTTTTTAAAATGTGCCATCAGATGTTTTGGGATCGCTGTGGAGCAAGAAACAGTGGAAAAAAAAAATCAAATGTAGGAGTAGCCAAATATGCATACAAAATTTTCTTAGCATTTTCACGACAGAAAAAATACTGCTTCATTATCAGGGTAACTTGCTAATAGCTGTGTGACTGCCATTGGTATCTCTTCATTTACCCTATTAAATGATGACACAGGCTATTAGAACAACTGAAGAAAGCCACTGTTAGTTTCTTTTTATATAATTTTGCTAAGGGCCATTTCACACCTTACCGATTTAGCCAGTGTACTGTATGCCCGACGTCCCAGAACCTCCTACAATGCTGGCATTGGCTGAACTTTCTATGTATTTTTTCCATTTTGGGCATATACAGATCGTATTCATAATGAGTCCAGAACTTATGTCCAACAACAGCCTAACTTATGCATAACGCATGGCAGGGTAATGCCCATGAAATGATGCACAAGCCAGTGTCCTGAGGGCACAGACCAGGCATCCTGAAGCGTCTGGAGGAGGGCTGACGGTTTCCTCCTGTCAACCCCATTTTATACCAAAAGGCTGCCAATATGACATTAAACAGTAGCTGTAAATTAGAGACATGTTCAGTGGTCGTCTGGAACATGTCAAATAACGTTGATATGCATTGGAGATAAGTAACGCATAAGTTATGCACAAGTTACTAGTAGGTTTTGGATAAGCTAGACACCACAACTTAGTAACTTACACTTAACGTATGTCGACGATCAGATAATTTACCTATAAGTTATTGCCCACATTTGAGCATATGCTGGCATACGTCGGGAGAAACATACTCACCATATGTCGAATTGTGCCAGCATGTTTCAGCATAATTCAGCATGCACATAACTTATACAAAACATACCCATAACTTATCCAATGTAGGCCAGCGTTTTTGCCAGATTTGTCGGGCATACACTGCTCTAAATACTCAAGGTGTGACAGGGGCTTAAGTATTTAAAGGAGAGGGGACAAATGTTACCTGTAAAAACCTCTCTAACTATTCTATTTATCAGATCAAGTTTGCTATCATTAGTTAGCATCCAGTTATGCCAGCGATTTTTTTTAAATTTAGGATTTGTTATAAATTCTTTAATTTGTTAATTTCTTATTACCGACATCTGTGATGCCCATTATCACAAACACTTTGTTTCTAAATTTGCATATTTATTTATGAAAGCCATCCATTACTTCCATCCATGCATCCATAGATGCATTTATGGAAGCTTGGATTGAAAACACCAGGTCAACTCTGGGCACTGTTAAATGTGCCTAGAGGAAAAATGTTATTTCGTGAGACTGACTCTATATATTTAAGTTTGTGTTGACAATAGGAATAAAAGTATCAAATATCTTCAGATACTTCTATCTGCTATGAAGTTAATGTCTATTTTTAATTAGCCATTTTTTGATATGTGTCTTTGGCTTTTGAGGGCCGAATAAAAAAAAAAAAAAAAAAATGTACAAATAGGCCATGTTAGTTTAAGCCCACAGGATTGACAAGAACAGTTTTTAGTTTATTCAAATCTGGATGTTTCTCTCTTATTTTAGAAATATGCTGAAAAACTGATACCTGTGGATGTAACCATGGTCCATACTTTAGCATCCTGGCAAGTGGATGCTATTAAGCGATTATGGAGTGACCTTGGAGTACAGAAGTGTTACGACCGGAGGAGGGAGTACCAGCTGTCAGACTCTGCTAAATAGTGAGCTTTTTGAATTTTCATACACAAAACTTTTACGCGATTATAAAATTGAGGAGCAATTTAATATATAATTTGTGTGTGGGTGTGTGTGTTTGTGTATTACAGTAGGACCTTTTATGAACATTTTCTGTTTATATATGCTTTTTGAATCTTGTGTTAATCATAACTGTTATACTTTTTTGTGTCCAGCTGAGTATAAAGAGATAATCTAAAAGAAAATAGTTTACCTTAAATTTTGTACATTTAAAGCAACTGTCAGTGGGTACTGGCAAGATGAAAAAAGAGATAATTTCTTCATCACTCTACCAATAAACAAATTATATTTGATTTTTTTTTATTTGGGTCAAATTACCTTGATTGAAAATATATCAGCAGAGAAAACTGTTTCTTTTTATATGTTCATGTTGAAAAAAGAAATCACTGACAGCAACAGGAAATATATGTCTGCCTGCTTCATTTTTTGTTGAAATATTTTTGTTCATTAAAGTTACTTGTTGGTGGTAGGATAGCCAGGAATTATATTCAAGTTAGAGTATTAATACTTTATAATAATATGACTCCAATAAAAGTAAAACATTCACTGTTATTACTACTTCCCCAAGTCAATTTGTTTTTAAAAAGTTAGCAAAGTAAACATGAATGAGCTAAACCTGCTCATTCTGAGTGACGTTTTGCTGGATGTTTTCTCCCATTAAGGAGAAGTTCTCTTCCCCAATATTACTTTTCGATGATCAGTATGAGAGATTACTGCAAAGCCAATTACACAAAGTGGAATATAGTCCACATTTATTACAGGCTAGTCAAGGAGGAATTAATGCTGGAAGTTAGTAACTCTAGGAAATCTGAACTGAACTTGACTACATTGTTTGATCACTGGGATAAAAATAGAGTATCTGTAAATCTATCACCATGACTTGAAAGAACTGAGTTTCTTTTTGTGTGAAATGTCTCAAGATTAAAGTTAAATACACTAAAGGGAACCGAACTAACGTAATATATCAGATTTTCAGTTAACAAGTAAAGGCTTTGCCACAAATGGTGTTCTCCAAATTGAACAAAAAGGGAAAGTGTTACAGTATGTGCCTTTTTAATCAGCAAACAATAGTTTCTTCTGCAAATATTATAGCACTTTATGAATGATGTTGCAGCTTTATTTAATATTTTTATTGCCATATTTCACTTGAATTCTTTTTACTTCATAGCTTTCTAAGTGACATAAACAGAATCACAGCCCCAGGTTACATTCCAACTCTGCAGGATGTCTTGAGGGCCAGGGTTGCCACCACCGGCATCATAGAGTACCCATTTGAAATACAAAAAGTTATCATCAGGTATGATTCCCTACTTATTCCCCGTAACTTGGTGTAACTGTAAAGAACAAAAAGGAATTCTCAAAACAAAAGCTTTATGCTAAGGTCTTTTGTGAAGCTTTATTTTATAAAATAAACATCTTTTTTTTATAGGATGGTGGATGTGGGTGGCCAGCGTTCACAAAGAAAGAAGTGGATTCACTGCTTTGAAAATGTCACCTCCATCATATTCCTGGCAGCACTTAGTGAATACGATCAAGTTCTTTTTGAGAGTCAGGAGATTGTACGTTTTAGTTCAATGGTTTCTATGTTTTATTTTCTATGTTGCACTTTCAAATAGGTTATACGTTGAATTTGATTAAACTGTACCCATTTGTGTTCTAGAATCGACTGGCTGAAAGTCTTGCCCTGTTCAAGACCATAATTTCATCCATTTGGTTTAAGAGCACCTCTACCATCCTCTTTTTGAACAAAACAGATCTACTTGAGGAGAAAATCAAAACATCACACTTGGCAACGCACTTCCCAAAGTTCAATGGTAATTGATGTATTGCTTCATGTTCTTTCATTACAGATCCATCCTGTCATTTCTTTCTTTAAATCTCTATCTTTAAAATAAAAGAAAAATATATGATTTGTGCTTGAAACTATTTTATAGAAAAATGTTAATTATTGATTTGTTTGATGTGCCATTATTGATGAATCTTTAGAATTTACCTAATGAGCATGCACTGCTGTAATTATCAGTTAATGAAGATATTCATTCATTCCCAGATAAAAGTTCCAACATTAGTCCAAATATTTGAACCCATACTTTGATGTGATTACATGTGATCCCTTTCCATTTATAACTATTCTACTTTAACTTTCTCAGATTGTTTATATTCTACACTCTTTGGTTTTCTATGTTTTACATTTCAATAGAGTATCAATCTTAATGTGAGTAGGATCTTCATTAGCAAGGTGGCTCTACACTCAGAAAAAGAAACCTAGATTGATTTGCAGTGAGAAAAACACAACGGCTATATGTTTTTTTTTCTCTCAGAATTAACCTTAGAGTCTGTAAGGGCTGCAGGTGGCAAGATGAAGCACCCAAATTAAAAGTCTGATCTAGAGCAAGGATTCCTTAAGTGGAAACGTGACCCATCAGGGGTTGCGAAACACCAAGATGGGATACCCGAAATGTTTTTCATAATCATTGTAGTGTGATCCCTTACATACTCTACATTAATGTGGATATTCTATTAAAAAATGTTCCATTTCTTAAATTCCTCATCCTTTACATGATTACAAAATTAAATGTGACATCAAATTCCAAAGTGCACAATTAAATAATTGTATGTCCTATTTAATATTTAAAATAAATTGTAAGCATTGCTTTAGAAAAAACAACTGTTAAAAATGTATATAGTTAGTTCGATAGGTATTTATGTTTTGTACCTAATATCAAACAGTAAATAAAGTCCAGCAAAGATACAATTGCTTCAATAAAAAGAGTAACTGAGGATAACTTACACTTGATTTTAAATGAATAATTTTCTCTCGAAACATGTGAGGGAGAAGACCTGGATATAAGCTGATATAAAAAGTCGATGAAGAATACTTTTTTTGAGAATAACATTTACAAAACATATTATACATTTAATCATTGGACTCTATAATTCATATGATTGTTACCATGTTAAATTATCTTGAATGTATTCAATTTGGAAGTTATCCATCAACTGATGTTGATTTTGAACTCATCTCAAACTCACAGGGCCTCAGTGTGATGGTGAAGCAGCAAAGACGTTCATCCAGAAGATGTTCATTGAGCTTTACAAAGTGAAGGACAATCCCCTCTACACACACTTCACTTGTGCTACAGACACTGAAAACATCCGATTTGTCTTCAATTGCGTGAAAGATATAATTTTCTGTAACCATTTAAATGCTTATTCACTCATGTAGACTAGAAAGAAGACATGATGTTTCACAGATTTTACAGATAATTTTATCATCCATAAAGAGATGTGTTAACCCCTAAAATTCCTACCAATTCTAGAATGCTATGAGTATTAAATTCAAATGTTATATTTAATCTCCCCCAGGATTCAAATGAATTACATTTACTCTTCACTACACTTACAAAGTAGAGCTGGGCGCCAACTAATGACACAGCCTATCAAGTGGACACCAACTTGGTGTGATACATGCTCCAAAAACTGAAAGAAAAAAAAACCGAAAAAAAAACAAACAAACCACAGGACTTTATTTTCCAAGTTAAAAGCTGAAGTTCCAAGCTTTATAGAGTAGCCCAACAGTGCCTTGTTGTGGCTTAGAAAACATGCAAATTAAACCAAAAGAACACGTCCACTCCTTAGCAGTGGGGAGTCGTTGAGGTCTTTGTTAGCCTGCAATACCCAATACTGGCCTATTACTCTGAAAAGGGGAGTCTTTAAGGTCATTGTTGGCCTGCTTGACCAGGCGAGATGTCTTGGTCCCCTGCATGGTGATGAGGATTGAGATGATAGTGGGAAGGAAGCAGCTCCATCGCTGTGTTGCAGGAGTTGCAGAGCTGAAACCGGAGTCCAGCGCCTCTTTTGGGGGACCCAAAATTAGCATGTTTTTTGGGCTACTCTATAAAGCTTGGAACTCAATGTGAATCCTGACATTTTGAATACAGAAAGCTGGATGGGAAGTGAAATATCTTGAAACTTGGAAAACAAAGTCCAGTGTGCTGATGAAGGTTCTCAGTCATCCAGGTCATAGTCATTCCGTAAAAATTCGAAAAATATCCACTGGACTTGGTTTTCAAGATTTGAAGACGTTTCGCCACATCTCCAGGAAGCTTTCTCAATTCAAATGTGATTTGAATTGAGAAAGCTTCCTGGAGAGGTGGCGAAACGTCTTCAAATCTTGAAAACCAAGTCCAGTGGATATTTTTCGAATTTTTACGGAACAAAGTCCAGTGGTTTGTTTTTCAACAAAGACTGGGACTCTTCACCAGCACGGTTTGATACATGGTTTCCTGAAATCACCTTGATATTAGAACCCACCACAACTGTTTTTCATGGCTGATTTCCATTGTTTTGGCTCTGGAGACAACTTCCAGACAATGAGCCCAGTGCTGCATTCTGTACACTGCATGAAAAGTGAGATTTTCGTCCCCGTAAACCCCCGTAAACTCCCGCAGATCTGCCTGATTTTCGTCAGTTTCCGACAATTTGCAACCCGTGCTTGTCCGCGTTTGTCGTGCCACAAATTGTCGAAAACGTACCGTGACGTATGTGGAGAGCGATCAGCTGTACTAATGGCCCTAATTAGCATATGAATGCAGCAAACCCGCGCGGCTGGCCAGGTCTGGCTTGAATAACCTTCTCAGTATTGGCTGAAACCACTATTCTCAAACAAATGAAATCGCTCGTGATTGGCAGCAAAACCACACGTGGCCACGCCAGGCTTTAATTTTCTTACTGAGTATTGGACGGAACCGCTTCTTTTTAAACAAGTAAAGTCGCTCGTGATTGGTTGGCATATATATATATTTACATATATATATTTATTCATATATATATATATATATATATATATATATATATATTTATTCATTCATATATTTATTCATTCATATATTTATTCATTCATATGGTGTGTATTTATGTTATCCTACACTACTACACAATTATTATGCTACCATCAAGGACATGAATGAATTTATACAGGAAATGAACATTTGCCAGGAAGCTGTTTATGCAAAGAACTTTATTAAAACACACACAACTATATACAACGCGTATCCAAACACATGCGTTTCTAAAGATTAAAAGTCCGTGAACGGTCCGTTTGCTTCCTCGGGGTTGGAGGTAACTGGCAGCATTCCCTCCGAGGCAGGTCCGATGTGCAGACGCCTACTGTGCGCGGCCCTGTACTTCGGCATCGCTTCTAACCGGGACTGCAGCTTAACACAGAGTTCAGTGAGATCCGGCCTACGAAATGGCGGTGACCGTACAATCCATCCAGAGACACCGCCGAGGAAGGCGGACTTCCAGAGTTCCACTTCCTCATCTGCTAGCACACTCTGCCTCGCTTTCAGCAGCTGAAAAAAAAAACAATGAATCAGCGCACTGCGTATGGACACAACACATCTATTAATGCACCTGAAAAATAGTCACCAAATAAAGTCTTACCCTCTTTCTTCTGGCCCGACTCCGAGCAGAAGCTATGATCGGTATCTATCCGTATCCATTACCTTTTACCGCAGAATGAAAGCATATTCTTTAAATCTTACCCTTGCTCCGGTTCATAGCGCCTGCAATTAGTCTCCGAGTTGTTAAGACGGCGTACTGCTTCCTGTAAATCACAAAAAATGCACTTTAATAAAGCTTGTTCTTGCAAGGCTAGGCTAGATAGGCTAACAGCTAGCCTGCTATTAGCCATAGCTCAGGCTAGGCCGCTTTTAGCTTAGCAGGCAGTAATCGAACATATATTTACCGCTAGCATCTCTTCTTTGAGTTCGTCTTGTTCGATGCAGAGTCGCCATCGCGTCCAAGAGGAGTTTTACCCCGAAATCCCACATACTCCGTCTGTGCTCCGCTCCGCTCCGCCCCGCTGCGCTCCAGACCGCCTGCACAAAACAAAGCCTACAGCCGCCGCTGTTGCTCCGTCCCCTCCGCTCTGAGTTCCTTGGAGATCGTAGAGGGCATGCGCCAGATGAACCAGGGTTTCCGCGGATCATTAAAAATAATTACAATTCATAATTCTTTTTTTAATCAAGCCCTTAATTGGCACTAAAATTAATTAAATATGTTTATCGTTGCATTTATGATTCTTTAATAAATGGCATTTTATGGCATTCTTTAATTATGGCATATTAAAAAAATCTCACCATCATCCAGCACATGTTCAGTTTCTGCCCAAATATATATTTATATTTTTGTAGATTTTTGTAACGGGGATAAGGATAATTAAAAACTGCTTTTTTTTAATGAACTTGTTCACTACTTCCAAACTCAGCATCTCTTTTCATTCTTGTAATAAGAAGTTTCTTTTGAATGGATTTGATTAAAGTTTAAGTCCCTCGGTATAAAATAAATATTTTGATGGAGATGAGAAATCTGCTTCCTCGTTGGTGAATAACCAATAGTTTGGATCCAATCATTTAAATAAACGGTGTTAGTTTTTTTTTTTTTATATATATATAAGAATTGTGCTATAATTTCTAGTCACCGATCTGTTGCTGCTATATTTTAATTTGACGAACCGGAATTTATCGATGTTCTTTTTCCTGTTTGGTGCGATTGCAATTGCGGATCTTGACCTGGCCGGACCTTAGGACCACAGTGTACCAATCTTCTCATGGCTACTTCCAATAGGATAATGCGCCATGTTATAAAGTGAATCATCTCACACTCATTTCTTGAAACTTTTCCACTTAAGTAATTGTGAATTGAGCATATTGACAGACAATATTTTATTTTTTATCTTAAATGCAAATTTTTAAAAAAATAATTACTGCTCTAAATGTATTGCTCTGTCAGCTAAAGATCTGTTTTGGTCTCTATACTTTAATTAAATAAATCAATTCAAGCTAAAATGTGAGAGGCTATACTAAGCCTGATCTCTTTGTATCAGAGATTTTCTTCCTCAGAAAGATGTCACTTGGGGTAACCCCCCCCCTGCAACCCTGGTTTGCATTTGTATAGCTCACAGCATGTTCATTTACATGTTAAAGCCTCCCCTAGAATTCCATGGGGGGTAGCATGGGGGGAACACTGCCTAAGAAATTCCACGTCAATTTCTGACAATTTACGGGAGTTTTCGACGAAGCCTGCAAATTGCCGTAAACTGCCGCTAACCTGAAGTTCCACGACAATCTACAGTGCCGTATATTGACGAAAATCCCACTTTTCATGCAGTGGTAGTATCTGTTGGACTTAGGTTAAATAGGTTCAAATTTAGGTTGTATTTAAGAGTTGTTTACTATATGTGTCATTTAAAGAGTGATTACTCCAGGCAAAAGAAGTGGGAATAAGCCCAAAGGCATAAATGCCTTCACATGCCAAGGAATTTCCTTACACAGAAAACATCTAAGTTGTCTTCATATAAGTGAAAGACTATTTTCCTTCAACTGCTGCTTATCAAGATGCTGGTATAAACAAGGATGGAATTGTTGGTTACTATAGTTTCATAAAAAAAATCTAACATCCTAGTGAATACTGTTTCTTTTCAACAATTTCAAGGAATGTTTTAGTTAAGGAGAAATACCATATTTTCCTTCTTACAGCTTTCAGAGGTGGTAAATAAAATAAATCACTGCATGGAGTGTTTTAGAATGATATTTTATGTTTATTTTGAACAGTGTTAATATTTTCAATAAAGAAAAACCAAACCAATAAACTTTGTTTTATGTTCTCACTGGTGTTGAAGATCACATTTCAAATGATGTAAGCGAGCCGTGTCGATTTTAAACCACGGCGCAAACTCTCCCTGTCCTCTTTTCCCTGTGACCTCCTGGTCTGTTAGGCGAGATACACCAGTCTTCAGCTAAAGCCACAGTACGTGGCTACCCCCTCCTCCTGAGAAGTGTCTGTGTTAGCTGAGGAATCAGGCTGCTTTAAAGCAGATGAGAAAAACCATGAGGTGTTTCACCTGGTCGAGTGGAGTTTTGGGTAATTTTCCTGTCCCTTTCCTGTCCCCAAACATACTAAAGAAATTTCGTAAGTAAAACAGATTTCAGTTATCAATTAACTAATAATCATTAATTGGTTTTACCCTTGATTTGAATGACCTGTTAATTAACTATAACCTCCAGTTATAGTTATTTAATATATTTATAATCTGCTGGTAAAATTACACAACCCTCATCTATTTACTTTTGCTGAGCCCCAAATATCTGAGATTGGAAGGCCTCCTTATCATCACCCTTATCTTTAGCTCCTGCCACAGATTCAATCCAGGACCATCTTTCTCTGAAGTGGATTTGAATTTGTTGATTCACCCAGAATGCCCTAACTGTCTCTGATTTTTTCTTCTTTATGAAAAGTGTCTGTGATTGATATGAATAACTTGTAATTTTACATGTTTTTCAGACTTCTCCTTGTTAAGTATAACAAAGCAGCTAGGCTCAGAGAAATAAAATGTACAAATTGTTGTCTGACTTAAGGCACACTGTGAGTCATTCTGAATTTTTTAAAAGGTGTCTGCTCTATTGTTTTCACTTTTGGCAGTT